ATTTTAGCGCTTGTCTACAGAGAGAGTAGAAAACTAAATGTATGGGGATGACACTGACAAATGTCAAAATTTACGTCAATTCCATATAATTTGGTTTTCTATTCTACATGTAGACAAGCGCTAAGTGGCATATGGCTACAGCTGCTGGACTCTGTATTTCATCACGTTCAATCAAACTCATTCTAATTTGGTTTTGGGTTTTCCAACAGGATTGCATCGAGTGCAGAGTTATATTAAGATATTCCACTGACATATTTTCTTCTTACTTATGCAGTGAAATAATATTTTGGCTAACCAAGAAAATGATTCTAAAACCAAAATTTGATCAAAGAGACAAATTAGACACATATACAGATAAATAATATTGAAGTGTCTGTTTGTAAAATTAAAATAACCGCTTTTTACTACATGCATATGAATATACATACGGTACACATACCAAAATAACACATTTTACAATTTTTGTCTGTCTGTATTGGCTAATCTCCGAAATCGCTGAACCGATTTAGCCGGGACTTAAATTGGCAGGTAGATAATGGTACTAAGGAGTAGCATTTTAATTTAAGAAAACGTAGACGTAGTTGCACGTTCAGTTAGTATACAATGATTAAAAAAACACATCAACATCCTATGATATTCGACTGGTGGGGTTATTATCTCTAATCTTGGCAGGCGGGCTAGTGACTGTAGTCTAAAAGATTCAGGTTTATCATAGAGCACAGCTGCCCAGTCTCCGTCAAAGTAAAGTACTTTAATCAGCTCTATATGCCGAGTAGAGGTGCAGTGACCACATGACAAAGCCAATCACATCATCATAAGGAAAAAGAAACAATTTCATCAGCTTATAAGTTATAACAAACATGCATGATTACCACGAACGAGAGCTTAACAGTAATTAGCACGGTATCTTAACAAATTGATGTTTAATTAATACTTGTACATATATGAGACACGAGACATACTATGTTATCCAGTGTATAATTAATGGTTAGTAACATTATGTAATTTGTTACACTTTCATACAACATGACATGACAGTATCATGCGATATATTGTTCAAAAATGCTTGCAGAATAATTGTGGCTTATAATTTGACTAGCTGTTGCCCGCGACTTCGTCCGCGTAGAATAATGTCTTCTGGCAGAATTTAGGCTTTTGAATTAGTCTTTATCAAGGGAATATTCTACGGTAACGAATGTCGTCAGAATTGATTCAGTATCTAGTATAGGGCTCCTCCCCCGTAGATGATAGCGTGATAATATATATTGACCCGACTTGTAAGTAATATTCATGCAAAATTTGAAGTAAATCCATGCAGTACTTTTTGAGATCATCCCGGACATAAAAATTCTAAAATCCTTATTTTTGGCTTCGGTATCAACTGTAAATCACGCACCAAATATTCTTTTTAAAATATATTCAATGAACAGTCTTGACTTTTCTACGATTTTATTATATGTAGGTACAGATGCTTCGCATTTGTAAACGAAAACGAAAACGAAAGTTAATTTGTTTATTTAACCCAAACTGCTGATCTGATTTTAATCAATTTTGCTGCAGATATAGATGTTAGAGAGCAAGGTTTGGTTATACTTCCTGAAATATTTATTGACGTCAAAAAGTTTGAAAAAATTTGAGGTTCAACAAGATAGAAGTAATTTTTATTTTTTAATTTAATTTTAATGTCAAAAACAAATGCATATGGAGTGGGGACAACAGCAAAAAATAATTGTCCTATCAAGTTTACGATTTAGGATAACACCATAATCAAAAAACAATGATTTTAAACGAACCTTGAAACCATGTTAGCGACATTAGCGCTCTTTTTGTGTGTACTTTGTGACGGTGAGCAAATAAACAATTTTTCTTTCTTTCTTTCTAATAGAAACATTTTTTTAAAGCCCTTTTTGCAGTACTGACAGGCCTAGTATCTTTTGAGTATTGTGGTATAAATAAAAATAAAAATAGTTATTTCATTGTAGAAGTCACAAAACAATGGTGCCATCATTATTCCTACAGCATACTCATAGCAAAACTTATGGTCGTAAGTAACACGTGCAATTTTATTACTACGATTTCCTGTTAAAGTAACTGTACTTTGGAAGTAACAAAAATTACATTTGGATGCCGGAAAACTTATTATTATCGTCGTAATCAGGCTGTTTCCATCCACTGCTGGACATCATCAACAGCCTATAAATATCACGTTTTACAATTTTTGTTTGTCTGTTTGTATTGGCTAATCTCTAAAATGGGTGAACTGATCTTGACGAGACTTTTATTGTCAGGTAGATAATGTACTAATAAGTAACAGTGGCAGTTTCAGATAGTATACAATAAGTAAAAAAACACATCAACATCCCAACAGTCGACTGGTGGAGTTTGGGCCTAATCATTAAAAAAAAATGCCCAGTGCTGAGCAAAGGCTCTTCTCATGCGGAGAAGGTTTGCACATTAATCACCTCGCTTCCTCAATGCGGGTTGGCGATTTCAATCTTATAATTAGAAATTACAAGCCCAGGTTACCTCACGATGTTTTCCTTCACCGTTTGTCAGTGGTGTCTAAATAATCTTAGAAAGTACATGTAACTCGGAAAAAATCACATTGGTACTTGCCGTTGGTAGGTATTGGACCCGTACCCTCATGCATGAGGAACGGGAGTCTTAAACCTCCGGGCCACCACTGCTGGACATAGACCGCTACAATACCGTGTCTCTGAAGTCTAGCTCAATATTTAGCTCTTCGCATCTTAACATTACCAGCTACTTTGCGGATAATTATAATCTAATTAATAAGAAAGCGCCCTACAGTAATATCATCACTACATAGTATAAAACAAAGTCGCTATCCGCCGTCTGTCTGTCCATATGTATGCTTAGATCTTTAAAACTACGCAACGGATTTTGATGCGGTTTTCTTTGATAGATAAGAGTGATTTTTAAGCAAGGTTTATATGTATTATTATGCATATTGCACCCGTGGGAAGCCAGGGCTGGTCGCTAGTTATTAATAATTATAAATTGTCACTAACTTAATTTTTTCAAGGCGTTTATTGTAGACAGAAATAGTAAGTTGACAATGAAATTAATTTGTAAACAGACTATTCCGTTGCCAGTGCTAACAAATTCTCTTTCCTTTTGCAATGTAGATCAGAATAAAGAAATAAAATATGAATTCAGACGTTACATTTATTGAGAACGATACACAATATATACGACTACAGATTTTACATAATAATTCGTACAAAACTAAAACGAAACATTATTCTAATCATAGTAACATAAACTAAATAGTTGAATTAGCCTAGAAGAGAACTAACAAAGAATATACAACTTAGTGACTATATTTAATTATAATATTTTGACTAAGATGTCTTACAAAAGAAGCGCGGTGGCCGTTTTGCAGTTAGGCTGCCTGCAACAGACATACCAACATAAATGTTCTAATTTAACGAATTCCCTATACATATAGTACAAACTATTTAATGCAATAGCGTAGGTAGTCCAATAACCAATGTGCTCTTGGAATATATAGAAAGATAAGTTCTTTAGGTGACAAGCCATTCTAGCACTTATAACAAAGAGTATAAGATACAGCAGGTCAGGTTATAGCACTTGTAGCTCAACTTCGAAGAAGGCAGCTTATTATGGAATCAAACTACTATATAGAACGCCTATATCACTTCACTTGCAACACCAAAGCAGATGTGGGTGTCCAAGGGCGTCCATTACAAGTGCATTGCAGGTCTTTAGGGAGCATTGGTATCCTCACTAACAAGTCAAAACACAACGCAAGCATTAACCTCTTGTATGTCGGTATTTAATACATAATAAAAAATGCATTGCCTTGCGTGATCCGATAGAAAACTAAAGTTATCAACATAGCCCAAAGGATTAGTAGAAGTAGCAGTGGGCCGGTCACATTTGTCGAAGAACCGATAACCGTTGGGGTAAACGTGTTCTTAGAGTGGAGACCGCGTCTAGGCAAACTTAGTGTAGGCCCTACAGCTAGGTGGATGACGACATCCGCAAGGTGGCTGGCAGTGGTTGGATGAGAGCTGAAGACCGAGCTCAGTGGCGTGTCATTTTAGAGGCTTATGTCTAGCAGTGGACGAACAGGGGCTAATGATGGTAGATGACTAATTTTTGTTTTAATGTCCGTCTGGTAAATTCGTCATTTTGAATCATTAGACACGTATTTTTTATTTTCTTACAGAATCGAATACTTTCGACAATATATTGATTCGAAATGTCGCGTGACGTCACTTCTATGTAAATTTTATACGTAGAAATGACGTTTTAGCCCCCATTTCTAAACTTTGATTCGTTATATCTAAGTATCATTTTATTATACAAGTAAATAAAAAAATATGTGTCTAATATTTCTTCATTACCTAACTGACGGGCTAATAACATTATTAATTTTCATACACTGTCACCATCCCTATTATGATTGTCTCGCATAGTACTACGCTTCGACATACCAGAGGTTAATTCTACACTACAGCAATATCCTCAAAGGATGAAAGTAGAAATAAGTGACGAAAGAATAAAGAAGTCGCAAATAAATACCACATAGTTTTATGTCGAAATACCCAAACACTACTCAATTTTAAGTCGCGCTTAAGTATAGTTCTGTCTCCACAAATTATTTGTAAAATGACAGAGATAGCACGATATTTAAGTACAATTTATAATTGAGTAGCCTTTCAGTACTCGGGCGCCTGTTGAAAATCATCCCCTAAACATTGGAAATAAGGTCTATAATGTAGTTAGTGGAGAGGGGTCACCGGTGACCGCTTGAGTATAATATGGGTATGTCATAATTTGAGTAAATTTGCATTTTCCATTAACATTGACGTGTAAAATAATTCGGTATTTTCAGGCGATGAATCAGTTAACCAAGTAATCCGAGAGCTACGTATTTGATAAAGTTGTCGATGAGTAATTAATAGATAGTTACGCGCCATTGACCAAGCGAACTAATATCTATGACTCACCTCGTGATCTGGCCCTGGTTTCGATGCCAGCCTTGCTTCTGTCAGCTGATTCTTCAAGGCCCTGGAGAAAAATAACCTAATTTAATTTTTAATAATTAGGGACTAACAAAATGATGTCTGTGCTGCCATCTAGTACATAAAGTTAGTACTGATGAGTCTCTAAAGCTCGAAATAGCATTTGAACTTGGGACAATATTCTTAATTGCTACTTGTACTTCAATGGTCGTAAGTAATGTACTTCAAAGGCTTCTTTCTATTAAGGTTTTTAAATTTGTTTTTATTTGAGACAAGCCGGCAACCGAGCAGACGTATCACCTGATGGCAAGCAATTAGCGTCGCCTATGGACACCTGGATCACCAGAGGCGTTACAAGTGCGTTACCGGCCTTTTAGGGAGTAGCAATTTGAGGGTTGTTGGAGATTCAGGAATTGGTTAGATTAAGTAAGCTCACTGACACGATGAAACACAACGTAAGCGTTGTTTTACGTCAGTTTTCTGTGAGGCCGTAAATCTTAAAACATCATCATAATAGATACAAGATGATCGACTGCTAAACATCAAAGACAATATAGGAAATAGAATCATCAAACATAATATTACATTGAAGTAAATTAACATAACATAACATTACGCCTTTTATTCGGGGATTCCGGCATTTAATGCCGCTGTACAATTTACATCCACTTTTCACTATTTATGTTACGACTCCCATGTAATAAGGGGTGACCTATTACCATATACCGGGCACAATTCCAGACTCCGTGCTACTATTGAGATTTTTTTAAACCAAGTAATACTTTGTCCGACCCTGGAATCGAACCCGAGACCCCTTGTCCGGCAGTCGCACAATTGCGACCAGTCGGCCAACGAGGCAGTGAAGTAAATTACTTCGTCAATAAAACAATAACTTACATGTACAGTTCCTCAGCCTGTCTAGCTTGTTTCTCCCTGCGCCGGAGCAGTTCAGCGCAATGCTGCAGTGTAGCGATGGTGGCGCCACACGTTGCGCGGAATGAAGCACTCGTTGCCCGCACCTCGCCCACGTGCAAGTTTAGGTCGTTACCTGATGAATGAGATTTCTTTTTATTGTGAAGTTTAAAATAAATACTGTATTTTAAAGGAGGTAAGAAAACTATTAGTTGAAAATACATATCATAATCAGTTTATTATTATTCTTCAATTTAATTAGAAGCTAACGTAAGTAGTTTTTCTTTAATTATTATTTACACTCGAAAAATGTCCTGTTATGTGCCTCCAATATAATAATAATTATAATCTATTTCTTCTTGCCTCGTTGGCCGAGTGGTCGCAAGTGCGACTGCCAGGCAAGGGGTCTCGGGTTCGTTCCCGGGTCGGGCAAAGTATTACTGAGTTAAAAATCTCAGTAGTAGCACGGAGTCTGGAAATGTGCCCGGTATATGGCAAGAGGCTCACCCCCTACTACATGGGACTCATAACATAAATAGTGAAAAGTGGGTGTTGCATTGTACAGTGGCATAATGTGCACTTTTGCGTACCCCTTCGGCCTTCGGGGATAAAAGGCGAGATGTTATGTTATGTCTATTTCTTCCTTTTTCGCTTCCCTGGCGCCTATATCAATTTAAAGGGTTGCCCAAAAATATTACAGATCTATTATTTACTTAACTAAATTCATTAGCAGATAACATAATACTAAAAAATCACTTAGTTCATTCAAACTAAGATTCCCCAAACTTTTATACAACAGGACTTCCCGGTAGCATAACTTAATTATTGAATGTAAAACTAGATCAATAGAGTACTATAACACTAAGTAGTTTATTGAGTTATTCACCAAACCACAAGTTTTATTCACTTCTGAATTCCCGATTATGAAAAATCCACAACCTTGTTTATACAAAAGTAGTCTCTACACATCGGAAATAAGGTCTATAATGGATTAAGCTTGGGGACTGGGCAGTTAAATAGTTACTTTATTATTATTTCCTTAAAATACTAGTCATGACAAAGGTATGCGCATACTCCTGTGAATGTATGTACGGAATGGCTACAACATACTGTCTACATAAGATATTAATAGACATTGGAATCACTGGGACCAACGACAGACCAGACAGCAGTGCCGTCTGATAAACATGAACCCTTATAAACTGCTATCTCCACCAGACCCAAGCGTACGGCGCGTCGCATTCTGCGCGCGCCTCAAAGAGCCATCAGGCCACCACGGATGGGGCCCAACCTGGTTGCCGGAGCTCCGGCTCGAAGGGCAGGAGTAAGAACGGGGTGGTTTTTAGTCAGGTCTGACATTCCCTCCCGCCTCACTTAGGCGTGGGAAGTCATTCGATAACTTCCCCCTTAAAAGAAAAAAAAACCTGCGAAGCGTGGAGATATGACAAATGCTTTTGTTAAGGTACTGTTGAATATGCTAATTTCAAGCACGCAAGCATGCAATGGTTGCATGCTTCAATAGAGCACCTTGTCAAATAGCTGCATGTATGTCCGAATGTTGCTCAAAAATTAGCATGGTAATTTCCAGCAAAAATAAGAATCGAAAGGCGTTCGATTTTTGAAAATTTTCGAGCATGTTCAATAGAATACCTTTCAGCATGCTATTTTAGATCATATGTACACGTGGTTACACATCGAGCTTTACATAACCAGTATAAACTGATCGTTAACTGTGCGGAAAGATGTTGCGACGCGACACCAGGATAAACTGGTTTTGTATAGATTGATGTGTGGCCAGTAGCTTTAAATTGTCGTATTATTTAAGACATGACACATAGCTACTAAAAGACGATAAAAATTGTCAGCGAATGAACCAATTAAACTATCAGACATACAATTCAATTTATAGGCTATTCATACAATCTGAAATGACCTTGTATATAGATTTCAGTACAAAATGATGTCACAATATGGCGTCCAACTATACATTAATTTAGAACTCCATACATCTGTGGTAAACGATATTAAATAATTAAGAGGAATATGATATAACACATGTTTGTCTGTGCGTTTCTGCTATTTGCTCGGATGTGATAAACTTTTTAAGTATGATACATATGTATGGTAAAGCGAATATACAAAGATATTATTTAAAATATTACGGTTTTAGGTTCAAACTAACTTCTTTAATGTGTTATTGTTCCACTATCTGGTTATAGAATAATTTGTTTGTATTGAAACTATACGTATTTAACAACTAAATTATCTGCAGGTCGTAATATCACCCAATTTTGTATGAACTTTATGATTCGAAAATCGTAAATTTCAATGAGAATTTTCATAAATCCCCAACAAATTGTTTTTTACACTTCCACTTTTAATCTGCTAGTCCAATTTTGATGAATACTGGCATAAAGATAGATTTCGCTTATAGAGACAGTTACGATCACTTTTCAAATGCGCAAACCTCATTAAGTTATTAATAGAAATGAAATAACCCTAGAAAAGAGCGTACACATTTTAAAAAGTCCGGCCACGCACTCTTTTAACTGTTGGTGTTGTAAACGATGACGCTGATCGCTTACCACTAGGTACCTTTACCCTCTTTATCCATAAAAAAATATAAAAATAACAAACCATCAGCCAATTTAACAGCATCAATGGCTTCGGAGGCATCATCGTTGATCTGCGGGTAAGCAGCGACGCACATATCGAAGTATTGTTGCAACTGGATGGCTTGCTTCGAAAGCAGTTCGTTGTATGTGTCCAGCTCTGCGATCTTCTCGGCGAGACGACGAGTTGTACGGCCTGAAGACAAAGTGAGATAGTTGTGTTCAATACTAGAGTTCCCAAGTTAAGGGTTTTTCTCTCATATGAAGATATATCTAATTAGTAGAATTGAATTTTAAAGCGATTTTAAATGCGCAGTCGAGGCGCTGTCGCATGAGTACGCTGCTCATGAGGAAGAACCCCTCTGTGGTTCGAAACTAGTAGAGGTTTTCTCGGTATATTCACGCGATTTTTAGTTAATTTACTATGTCTCACGATAGTTATTATAAAAACATACTTCATAAAGCTCCACAGATTTGAAGAAATGAAATTACTTCTATTTTTTGTAGTCGGTTTAATCAAGTACAAGTCGGATATCATAGAGAATTGTATATGGTTTACGTTTATTGTCAATCATACATACTCAACATCAAAGACAACTTGTTTTTTTTTCTTTTTCTTCCTTTATGGGTAAACTAGGGTGCAACACTAAGGAATCGTTTTAAACGAGGTAATTATAAAATAAAAAATTGCTGTTGAAATAAATCAAAGCTAGACAGATCTATTTCTGACCGGAATTCGTACAATACTCTAACCGATGATAGTAATTTACGTCACGCTTATTAAAACGGATTTATTACCTACAAGTTAAAATTATAATTATATCTGAACATGTTTTCCGTATTTCAAAATGTAGGAAATAATTATTTTAAGGTAATTTCAAGAGGAAAATATTTCAATACAGAATAAACTCTAACGTTTAATGATAAAATTCAGTTTTCCTTGGTATCAAAATTCATAGGGAAATGTAGTGAATAGTAAGTTTGAGTGTTCACAGTAACACAAAGAATAAACATGAACATTTTTATAATGAAATCATATAACACACAAAGTAGATAATAACCAATGAACAGAAATAAACGCATTTTATCATTTAGCACTAAAGATGCTCATCTGCTTTTTAACCGACTTCAAAAAAAAGGAGGTTCTCAATTCGATAACACACAAACCCATAACAAAATATATCTTAGTTAATGGTCACAGGTATAATCCATAATAAAATTGTAAACAGCTTAATAATGGTAGGTATCTATTAAGGTTTTAATGAATAATTTTATGTAAAACTTGTGGCACCGACTTCTTACCTATCAGTGGGTGTGTAAGCTATAAGTACGTATCACCAATAATAGTTATTTTTTAGATTTTACTTTTCGTTTGTTTTAGTTTTTGAAGTCGGTTTTTTTAAACGCAATTTTTTATGTCAGTATCTATTGATACATAGATCCTATTAACCTATCTACTATCCGACTTAAGACAAAAAAACCACTAAAAAAACTAAAGAAAAACAAAGACCAACAAAAAGGTGAAAACTATTAGCCTCAAGAGGTGTTATTTTATTTCGTTTTTCCTTGCCACATACCGCCGAAACTGGTTACAAGGCAGTAATAAAGAGTTTCTATATATAATTAAGTACTTAAGGTTCATAATAGATTAACTTTAAACATTTTATTATTCGATGCTTCACTGCATTATACCTAATACAATTCTACAAAACATAAGGTTCGCCTACAGAGGTAGTGGATCTGAAATAAGTACTTTATTAACTTTCTCAGGGCACTAATTCAAGTTTTAGTTAATATGAACCTTCCGCCGGTAACAAAGAAACCAGAGATTATGTGATTTAGAGAAATTGGTCCAGCCGTTCATGCGTAATGCAGTGTCCTAACACTGCATAATATGACACTGCTCTGCATTTATCATAATAAAGGGAAATATACTTAGAGATCATAAGAAATAGGGCTAATTTCCCTTGGTCATCACTGATATATCTCATCATCACCAACAGCCAATAAGTAGCCACTGTCAGCAGGCCACTTGGTCAGCCAAAGGCCTCTTCTCAGACAGAGAAGGTTTGAGCATTAATCACTATGCTTACCCAACATAACATACATAAAATCACGCCTTTTATCCCTGAAGGGGTCAGAGGTGTACTTAGATTACGACACTTAATGCCACTGTACAATGTAACACCCACTTTTCACTATTTATGTTATGAGTCCCATGTAATAGGGGGGTGAGCCTATTGCCATATACCGGGCACAGTTCCAGACTCCGTGCTACTACTGAGATTTTTAAAAACTCAGTAATACTTTGCCCGACCCGGGAATAGAACTGGAGACCCCTTGCCCGGCAGTCGCATTTAATACCACTCGGCTATCAAGGTAGTCAGGCTTACCCAATGCCCTCTATAATTAACTAAATGATATCGGCACTACCATCCTACTCTGAGAAGACTCAAGAAGTCAGTCTCTTGTAAACAGAGGCGAGTACGAGTTTGATTTACGTTTAAAGTATTCATAACGAGTACGCGTTCAGCACTCTGATTGGCCGGCGCCAATGAACCAACCAATCAGAGCGCCGAACGCGTACTCGTTACGATTAATTTAAACGTAAAACAAACTCGTACTAAGGCCTCATGACCGTCTTATTAAATATCGTGCCATCTCTGTCATTTTACAAAGAAATAGTGGTGACAAAACTATACTTAAGCGCGACTTAAAATTGAGTAGCGTTTCAGTATTCCGACATTAGACTACACTCAGTGTAAACTGGGGCCCTTGTCCACACAATAACTCGAGGCCCTTTTAAAATGTTTCTTTTATTTAACGTTGCCTCAAACTAAAATTTTCCGCTGTATCGTGCGAGAGTGCATATACAAACATACAAGTTCACATACACATGACATTCAGACTCGAATCAACAATTTGTGGATCATACAAAGATTTACTCTGTGCGAGAATCAAGCCCGCTACACGTTGCGGGGCAGTCGGTTGCCGCGCAACGTGTAGCACGTGTGTCTGTCGTAGAAATTGTCGGTCCTTCGGGGCTGAATGGGGCCCTAGGAACAGGCACCGAGGGCCCTTATGGTAACGAAAAACAGCTTGTAAACCAGAGACCAGAACATCTATTCTGTTATGTTTCAAGGAATAGATATAGATGGTATGGATGAACTTTATACATACAATCCATACTTGCTACTATACTGTAGCTAAGAATGCTAACACCAGCTACATTTGCAAGTATATTCCCTCATAATAAATAATTACTTAATGAAGTAGAATTAATTACATGACAGAGCACGTCACGACACAGTGTATTCATAATTGTATGTAAATCACAACATCGTGTTTTAAATGACGCAGATAGTGGAAATTATAGTGCCCATCCATCTGTACAATCTAGTAATAGAGTTGTTAAGACTGATAAAATACTTAAGAAACGGTGACCTTATGTTTGCATGGTTGAATCAGACTAAAGAGTTTTAACCCCCTGAGTACCGTCATTATAGACACAATTAAAGAACAATAGGTTGCGGTCACCGATGTCCTCGCGGTGTTTGACAGTTTAAAAAAGTATTATAAAATGTATGACTAGAAATGTAACCCAGAACCTAAAACACGCCAGTCTGGTTACCTAAGACTAACTAAAAGCAGTTACCTATAACTTCAATTAAATTTTTCGTTGTAGATCCATACTTTCATAAAAATACTCATTAGAACCACCTGATATTGTTATCATCATTAACTGTGTTTGTCAATTATCAAGCTTTCATGACATTCATGCATCTAGTTTTACACAAGCTTATTTTATAGGAATCTTATACAAAATATATAAAAAATATAAATTATCCTTACTATTATAAATGGGAAAGTGAGTTTGTTTGTTTGTTTGTTTGTTCCGGTTTCACGCCGTAACGATATTCCCGAGGGAAAACAATAGAATTGGTATAGATGGCGCTGTGTGTATTGGTATATGTCACATAAGCTACTTTTATCCTTTTGTGACGCGAGCGAACCTGCGGGTAAAAGCTAGTCTTATATAAAGCTGAAGTGTTTGTTTGTTTGTTTGTTTATATGTGCTAATCTCCAGAACTACTGGTCCAATTTGAAAAATACTTTTTGTGTTGGATAGTGCATTTATCGAGGAAGGCTATAACACATCACGCTATGATCGACAGGTGCCGGGGAGCGCGGAAGTAGATTGTATAAAATAATATACCATGAGAGCCAGTTGACTGCAAAGAAGTAACAGAGCCATGTCTTCGCAAGCCTCCTCCATTAGAACTGCTGTCCGAGCTTGTCCCATAACCTGATTCCACCTGAGAACACAAGTTTAGTGCAATTAAATCAAAATGATCGCTGTAACATTTAGTTCCTAACCAAATCATTAACTATAATAGTTTTACACATTAATAAAGAATAAATTGTAGACTAAATTATGTTACTCATGTATCATATTGCCTCTATCACATTATTTGACATCAAGTCTTTTTCCCAACGAGATAGGCAGAGGTACACATTACGACACTTAATGCCACTGAACAATGTAACACCCACTTTTCACTATTTACTTATGTTATGAGTCCCATGTTACAGGGGGTGAGCCTATTGCCATATACCGGGCACAATTCCAGACTCCGTGCTACTACTAAGAATTTTTGAAAAAACCCTGTAATATTTTGCTCGACCCGGGAATCAAATCCGAGACCCCTTTACGAGACGAGGCAGTCGTTACAACATTATTTTGCATATAGAAATACAAATCAATAAATATTGAAACCTTAATTGCTATTTCATAATCATAATACCTAACCAAATATTTAATTATATTATACTATTAAAACCGGATATCTTAATTACTTCAAAACAAAAAAGAAACAAAAGATGAGCGTACATCTATCTCACTCTTACACTTGGAAATTGCTATAAAATTGTATACAAACTTGTTGGCATTTATGTCACTTTAAAAGGATTTCATCCAAGGTCAATGGTTTTATATTGATAAAGCCTGAATCCTTGTGTAATCTTATCATTGCACGGGCTTCATACTGGGAGGGCGGGGGGAAGATAGCAAGAACTCAATTGTATGTTTATCGACGGTTATAAATTTTGATATTTTATGTACATACAGTGCTCACAACTTACTTGATCTGTTGGTACTCTTGCTATTCGTATTGTGATGTTGTTTTTGTCTTTATTATTAACATTATTGTCCACCTAAACAGACAAGATGGCATTATACTCCACACGTCCATGCTGGTGTAAAAAAATGAATGTCATATTTCGTGCAATCAAGTCATGCCATGCTTATCCATAGAACGGAAATGAAGCAGCCAATGCAGTATTGGCAATGTTATCACAAAATCAATTCTTTTTAGAACAATTGAAGTTAGTACAGTCATAAAATAACTTATTGAATATTATCAGTTCTTATCAGATTAACTGATAGTTGGGAGCATTTAAAATCAGGTGATATATTGTTAAGATCAATGCTCAAAGAATGAGTCATCTGCAAAGTGTTACAAATGTTAGAGATAACAGGTTTATTTATATTGTGACGGGAAGGCTTTTTCTAGAACATTTTCCGACAACAGTAAAGTAACAAATTAATTAGTATATTAGTCATAATATCAACCTTGAATGTTTGGTATCACATTGTAATTAGAATATTGGTGAATTTGTTAGTAATCTCTAAGTAAACAGTGAAATATGTTATATGACAGTTTTGTTATATAATTTTTTGTATTTACTACGAACTGTATTTTTTCTTTATTTAATAGAAAATTAAAGCAATATACAGGGTCTCCCTGAAGTTGACGATTAAATGGCACCAGGTGATTAGTATAGTTCAGTTGATTTCAGGGATACCGTGTATATTTTGTCATCTGACTCCAACCCCTGGCAATAAACAAATTACCATAAAAATGCCATTAAAAAATCATAAAGATAATTCAAATAGTCACATAAGGTCGAGTCAAGGCCAAAGAACATATCAAATCATAATTTTACTTAAGTTAAACCAGCACACAACAATAATCTTCGACATTATCACAAAAACAATAAATTCCTCGAGATAATACTGTAATCTCTCGTTGCTAAAGTTTATCAATGTCAAATGTATTACGAATACCAACTTTTTTGCATTATATCATTTTGTTTAAGCCAGACAGTAGTATTAAAATATATTTATATGACACTTGAGTGTTAATTTGTTTAACTTTGTCGCCACAACACACTGCTTTCATGGCACTTTTGTGATTCTCCTGTTTAGATACATAATTGGCTGGAAAGTAGCTTATATAAACGTATTTTTTTTTCTTTAATTGTGTGGGTAAAGCGTCTAGTTTGTATATAACCTATATAGTACATTACAAAGTGTCTATTATTAGGACAATTGTTTGAACATGAATGTGTAATATTATTAGCACTTAGACATTTGATAACAAGACATATGTAAACAAACATTAAAGATGCTAACTATACTGATCAAAATGTTATTGGACTGTGAATATTGAATTTTTATAGAAGTATCTATCTATTTGATGTCATCTTAAAATATACATTTAAATTATATTTAATAGTTTGTGACCCGATTTTCTTTGCATTTTAATTGTGATTCAAGGTAATCAAGTTTATTAAGATAATGGTGATTGAGTTGATTAACAATGTCAAAGTAGCACTGATTTCTACTTGAAGTAAAAACGTTAGATATTAAATAAACTGTATTGTTGGACATAAATTGCAGGCACTTCACACAAGTAGTGTTATTGACATATATCAGTAATGTATGAGTGAGATAGATATACACATACACATCATATCAAACATCCACCTACCACCAACAAGTATAAAAGTTTTAAATTACATTTGATTTAATTATACTCACTTTGAATGATTCCAAAACATCAATCCATTGCTGTTTTTCTTCGGGACTAGTCGCTCTCAAGTACCAGACACAATCATTTACTGACACATCAAATCTGCAGTCATCAAATTCATGAGGCTGAAAAATAAATATCCAAGGTCGAATATCTGAATATTAGATCACATGCTAAGTCTGTTTGTTCTAAAGCGTTAGCCGTAGCGACAAAAAAAGTCGAGACGCAACAAGGACAAATTAATCTTTTTATTGGACTTTGCCGATAAAACAAGAACGCATAATCACCTTGACTTTGGCTTTCTTCAGGCATAAGGCACCACGGCATCCAAGATTACTCTCCACTTCACTCTTGTAGTACGATAAAGTAGAATCCTTCAAAACAATAAACCTGTCCTGCCAACCGTGAATGTAATTTGTCCATTTACTCAGGTATCCGCGAAGTTCTGGATTTCCGCCATCCTCTAAATCCGAGTTATCGCTCACTGTTATATTTTCCTCAATCATGTTGCAAATGTTAAGAATTTATATTTACATTAAATTCTAGACAAACTAAACAAAACGAAAAATAATAATTATCAAAAACTCGTTACATGGGAAGATACACAGCGAAAATTGTTGCTGTTTTTGACGTTTGACTTCCAGTGTTACAGATAATAAAGTATTTTGATAGAAAACAGTAACAGTATAGAAAAAAATATTTTTGCGTCATGTGATGATGTGACGAAAAGTGCAGCTTTATTTATAGTCCCGAATTTTCATAATTTCAACTAATTACATTGAATACTTTTTATTTTGAAAATCAGACGAATACTCGCAAATTATAGTACAAAAAATTACAATTTAACATTTATTACTAACGATACTAGAACGTTATGTAATTTAACCACTTTCTAGACAAATTCTACGAAGTATGAGAGTGCGACCGGATTTCTTACGTTCTTCGGGCTTATTTTTGATGTTTTCAAAATAGATATATTTTTTATTGTTGTAAGTTCATGAAACCAATTTTTGAACGTTTCTAAATTTGACATTATACGGTGCTTGCCAAGAGCCACCATTTCCGGAAACAATGTTCTTTTGCGTATTGATTTTAGTCGTAATGAAATCTGATTGGTCTAAATACATAAACCGCCAAAACTACGCAACAGCGGCCAATAGTAAGTCGCCATTCTACAAATAACTCACCATATCCGTTCAAGATGGCCGACAAAACTATGCCTATTTTTGTTCCATCAGAAAAACCTTTGAAAGTAGTAAAGTGGAAAGTTAAACAAGGTGTTTTTGTGTCACAAGGTCAAATATTATTTTTATACAACGATTCATCAGGCAACGGTACGGATCTGAAGAAATATAAAGCCGCACGCGCTGGTACTATCTCGTCGATCAAGGTGAAGGAAGGAGACATTGCAGAGCCTGGGTAAGTGACGTCATACTATAAATGCGGTATAAAATAATATTAATCAAGCTATTTGTTTAATTATCACACAAAACATTAATATTCTAGCATAGCACACATGATTATGATTACTCTGTTTTGAAGTGCAGTTGCATTATGTTTGCGCGGTAAATATAACTGCACGTAAAACTTCCCGCGTAAAATATAACCTCTAACACCAATCTAAAACAAACATAACAATTGAACATAACATAAGAAAGTGTAAGTTTAATTTCTATTAAATTCCAACATAACAATTTACTTTTAAATATTAAAATTAAAATATTTGGTAGTGTTTCAATTTTATTATTCTGTGTATTTAAAAAACGTGGCTGTAATTTTTTTTAATCAGGTAGGGTATTAATATTTATGTAAGAACTTATTTGAAAATCGAAACAAAAACTTTGTTACGAAAGTATTTATGTGAAGTGAATTTCACTAAAATTCAACATACAAATTGTAAACACTAAACGAGAGACCGACCCTTGGCCTTGTAATTATTTCATAGAACCTATACATGTTTCAGAGTGGCTGTAGCAGAGTTAGAAGAATGTCGCCATCCTACTGTGATGAAGGAGATGTGTGCGGAGTGCGGTGCCGACCTTCGCACAGACGAGGTATCCAACAGAGACGTCGCCGTCGTTCCTATGGTGCACTCTGTACCTGAACTCAAGGTAAGAATACAAAGACAAAATATGTGCAAATGGAACAAAATATTTTTGTCTTATAAGGTACTTATAGTTTCTTCAAAACTATCAATGTTTATTGGATTTTCGATACAAGTTCTAATGTGAATGCTAGTTAGAACTCCACTATAAATCCAGATATCAAAATAATAAGTCCTTCTGAAGACTTTCTTTTGTTGAGCTTTGAAAGATAGACAGGTACGAGGACTACATTATTCTATTACAATTATTATATCTCTATGGGTAAAAATTTCAATAGAAAAAGAAAATGAATATTTTCCCATATATTATTTGCAGGTGTCTGAAGAATTGGCACAAAAATTGGGCCGAGAAGATGCTGAACGCCTTTTAAAGGACAGGAAGCTAGTATTACTCGTGGATCTAGATCAAACATTAGTTCATACCACTAATGATAATATACCACCTAATTTAAAGGTAAATATAAAAGACATTTATTAAAAATAGAGGTATTAAACAAGAAAATGTCAAATAACAAATAATTTCCGTTTTGCAGGGAGTCCTACACTTCTTTCTGCGCAGTCCTGGATGTCCTGGCCGTTGGTGCCACACGCGTCTTCGACCACGCACTAAAGAGTTCCTAGAATCTGCTTCCAAGAACTATGAACTTCATGTCTGCACATTTGGGGCCCGCCAATACGCGCACGCCGTCGCAGACTTACTTGACCCTGAGAAAAAGTATTTTTCTCATAGAATTCTTTCTAGGGATGAGTGCTTCGACGCTAGAACAAAAGCAGCTAATTTGAAGTAAGTAATGAGTTCTATGGACACGAAAAAGAACTTAAGTACTATAAGAATAGCAAATTAATTCCATTTTTACAATTTTTCAGGGCATTATTCCCATGTGGTGATAATATGGTTTGTATTATTGACGATCGTGAAGACGTATGGCGACACGCGACCAATCTGATTCACGTTAGGCCATACTCATTCTTTCAATCAACGGGAGATATCAATGCACCACCACCACCAGGTAATTAATTATAGAGACTCTTGATTATATAATAACCCTAAAATAATATAGTACTTCTTGTTAAACTAAATTATAATTTTGCAGTTGACGAAAAGCCGAAAGATAAACAGCTAGCAAGTGGTAAAAACGGCGCTCAAGTTAACCAAATGCCTACTCTAGATGCCGAACCTGAACAAAAAGATACTTCAAAACAAAAAGAAACTAAGGATGATAGTGATAATGGTAAAATTGTTTCTAAAGAGGCAAAAAGTTCTGGTTCAGAAGAGAAGGAAAGTCAAGAGGCTGATCAAGAAAGTGATGAGAGGATAGCGCAAGAACAGGCTGAACCAAAATGGGTGGAAACCTCTGATGGACAGATAGAAGTTGAGGATCCAGATGATTACTTAATCTACTTAGATGATATACTTAAAAGAATACATAAGTAAGTAACAATGTAACTATTATACTTTTCATTCCCTAAAAGAAGTGTGAGGAAGTGAAGTGCAGTTGTAGTACCTACTTTTCACCAGCATATACAAGTCCCATGTAATAGTGGGCACTCAGTATAGTAAAATATGTATTATTTTATTTTCTCTTCTACTTCTTGTTCAATGAAGCAGTATCTAAATTCCATCACCCCTTTTTCTTACTTTTTCAGGCATTTTTATGACTATTATGACAAAATGGGCAAGAATCAAATTCCTGACTTGAAATCAATAATCCCAGAAGTGAAAAGTGAAGTATTAGCTGGCACAAGTCTCGTTTTTAGTGGCTTAGTGCCGACACACCAACGACTGGAGACGTCAAGGGCGTATCAAGTTGCAAGGAGTTTAGGAGCTGAAGTTACCCAAGATTATTCAGATAAGACGACACATCTAGTTGCAGTTAGAGCAGGTAAATCGTCATCTATTAAAGATCTATTTTACATTGGGTAAAAGTTAGTACAAAATTTTTTACCCACTAAAACTTATTTTTAGGAACAGCAAAAGTAAATGCTAGTCGGCGTATGGGTGAAGGCAAGAACAAATTACATGTAGTGACACCAGAGTGGCTATGGAGCTGTGCTGAACGATGGGAACGTGTTGATGAAAGACTATACCCTTTACAGAGAGGAGGACAGGTATTGTTTCAGATTTAAAGACAATATATTCATAATAATCATCTTACTAACATGGAAAAGATTACAGTCCACTTTACGAAAATAAAAACATAAATGAGATAAAATTAAATAAACTAGCAAATCTTTTATAGACTTTTGATCGGTACTTGAACAGTCAAATCTCTTATTCACAGAGCAGTTCTCGTCGACCGCCAGCGCACTGCAGCAGCCCGCCCCCCGCGCCTGCTCCCGTAGCCGCGATGCGCAAGCGCACACCGTCCGGACGGTTCATGGACACCATCAATCCACTGCTGTCCTTCTCAAGCGATGATATTGCTGACATGGATAGAGAAGTAAGTTGCTATGCAAATATTTAAAAAACTATATTTTTGTATGGGTTAAGTAGATTAATAAACAATCTATGCGAACTTTTTATGATGGCACTCTGGGCACGAAATACAAAATTTTACTTGCATCATTATTACAATTACATCACATTATCTTCAATATGTCTTCAATCTTCGTTTTTATCATGTCACAGGTGGAAGACATATTCAATGAATCAGATGAAAGTTCATCAGATGATGAGAAACCAAGAGATGATGACCTGGATGATGAAGAGAATCCTCCTGAAGATAGATTGATATCCGCTAGTGCGGAAAATAGCATGCAAGACAGCTTACAAGAAAGGTAAATTAAATGAAAAAATTACGAAAATGTTTTGTTGTTCTTTCTATAATCTCTATTCTATCCCCCAAAAAAAAAAATTATTCAAAAATTGAAATTAATGGAACATGCAGATAAATAATACTTTGCTTTTCGTTTTTAGATTACAACAAGAAGAGGCGACAAATGACTCTGAAATGGGTGAGTACAATGTCTTCGTTTCGTATTTCTACAACGAATTCTCGTACAAGACAAAACATTTTTCATTAACATGGCAGAATGTAGCTGATCAAATTATTTTATAATACCTACTGTAACATCTACACTTGACCTATATTCGCTGTTAGGGAGAGTTTTTGGACTGTATAAATGATGATGCTGATTAAAGGTCTAGGTACTGGTTTATTCGACGGAAGGTAGGTGTGCCTTTACAAATATACGGCGCGCAACGCGTACAGTGCTCACAGCTGATCGAGTGGAAAAGAACGGGCCGCGATCCTCGTCCTCGTACATGTTGCTCCCCGCGCAGCGCTGTCCCCCCTCTGATGCCACCGCCTGTGCCGCCTCCATCGACGTCATCGAGACGTCCGAGACGTTTCCGCACATTCGCAATAAATGATTTGAATTTGAATAACATAACTTTAACCTTTTTAGATGATGAACCCAGACCCCGAAAAAGACCACGAAAGTCCCCACCCTCTGATGATGAGCCACCAGATGACGATGACAGCTCCTGGAACCTCATGGGCGCGGCGCTAGAGAAAGAACTTCTGGCGCAGGACTGATGCCACCGTTACAAACAATCTAAAAATTATGAGCCTCCTATGGCTAAAAATAAAATTAATGCTCTTTTCTTTAGAATTTGCTGTTTCATTTATAAAATATCCTGAGACAAAATTGCTTGGTGTGATTTCTAGTTCTTTTCTTTTAGCTTTATTTAAAGCATTTATTTCCTACTAACTACTTCAGCACGGTTTCACACGTTCTGCCTAGCTCCTAATATTCGTGCGTGATGTTTTATAGCCTATAGCCATCCTCGATAAATGCATTATCCAACAAAAAAATATATTCAAATGAGACTTGTAGTTATGGAGCTTAGCGCGTTCAAAAAAACAAACTTCCGCTTTTTATAATAGTAGGTATAAGATGAATAAAGCTGAAATAGACATTCAATAAATATTGTCAATTTTCATTAGATTTGTTGCAAATTAATGAAGAATTGTCAATATGCATAACATAATCTGTGTGTGTATAGCACCAATAAAGCCTAGAGGTGTTTGATACTTATTCTAGAACTAGCTGAGCCCGCGACTTCGTTCGCGTGGAATAGTGACTATGAGCAGCTTTTTTTTTAATATATACTTATTTTTATTTTGGATCATAAAGTCATTTTGTATGTATAAGCATAGAATAGTGTTCGACGTGATTCTTTAATTTGACATAACTTTTTTATTTATGAACCGATTGACATGAAACAAACACTAAAGCATAACTGAAGCATACCACAATATATTCGTGAAAACCGCATCCAACTCGGATCAGCCGTTTCTGAGATTAGCGTGAACAGACAAACAGACAAAAAAAAAGTTTATTACATTTTTGGGTTTGACATCGACATAACAATAACCCCTGCAATTTTTTTTATTTTTATTTTCAATGTACAGACAGCACTTTTCTACAATTTTATTAAATGTATAGATAAATAACTAATGATTCACATAAATGATCCCTTGCAATGAAATGAACATGATTAGAATAACAACTGCTGTGTTACCCTAAAGAGGTTCTTAAGAAGCCACTGTTATGCTTTAAAGTGATAAAAAAAAACAAATATATTTACTAACACTAAAAGAATCATTTATTGCTAAAATAATTATACTATACAACATTCATATAAAATTAAATGGCATAAGGATCATTTTCATCAAAAACATGGAATTTTGTGTAGGTAGGCTTAGAGGTAAAATCTTTCTTTCCATCTTGCCAACCTCGAGGCGGTGCCTTATCATAGTTGAATGCAGAATCTAATTTTCCATAAACATTTGCTAGTCTATCCATGTCCTCTCTATACTGTTCTTTAGCCACCTTCTTGCCTGTAATAGGGTCAGTTATGTCACCGAATGGATAAACAACTTCTTTCACTTCATGAGTAATTAGTTTTGTAAGTTTTTGTGGCAAGGACTGTATGAGGACGATGTCGCCAGTCTTGCAGACTTTTTGGGGATCATGGCAATAGTAAAATTCGTCTTTTCTGAAATACTGAAATTATATAATGTAGGCATTAGTGTTATTAATAGACGTATGTGTTTTAGGCGATCTAATAAAGTAATAAATAAATACAAACCATGAGTAGATTCTCGTCCAGTTCTAACCTCTTCACTCTTATTTTTGCAGCATTTTGTTTTACAGTAGGTACGCATTGACCTAGAAGTAAAAATTTCCTAGCTGCGTCCGCTACATTACGGGCCATTTTTATTGTGTATTCTTTATAACTTTGTTACATAAAATACAAAATATTCGATTCTGTGAATGTGAATATCAACTAGAACCTAGAACTGTCAGTTGACAGATAGATTGATACTTGACACTCTTGACATAACCTAGATTGCCAACAAAAAATATTAGGTATGGGGTAATCTAAATATTGAAATCTTTATCTCTGACTAGCTTACCCGGCAATTACATCGTACCATGAAAAAAAAATCACCTTTTTTATACCTTTCCTGGACTGACAAAAACATTTCAAGACCAAAATTAGCCAAATTGTTTAAGCCATTCTCGAGTTTAGCGACACTAACGAATGGAAATTCATTTTTATTTAGATAAATTGATTGAGATCTCGAATAACGTTATGGTTTTCGTTTCACACACATAAAACCAAAGACATTGAAAAAAAAGCGGACACAGTCTCTTGAAAAACTGAAAAACCGACTGTGTCACCTGGCTACTAGGTATAGACTTACACGCAGAACATACACACATTCACACGAAGGACAACTGTCTGTTTTTAAGTGTGGTTACCCATTTACAGACACACGCACACTTAGAGAACCCACTGGAATTTTAGTACTTCGATTCGATTAACTACATGCTCTGTGGATTCGATCATTTATGTCATATTATGCCCGCCTTTTTTCAACGTCCATTCATAAAACAAAAATAAAAAGCTAGTTCATAAATTGTAAAAATTGAGGTTTTAGTATCACTAATGATATTATGAGCACTTCGCCTGGGCTAAAATCACAGTTAAACTGAACATAAGAAAATAACAGCAAAAACAGTTATTAAAAGAGTATACTTTTATTCATTGTACCACAATAGAATTGTCTTTTTTTAAATAAGTACTACAGATAATTAAGTAGAGATATTACTTTACACATAATTATAATAGTTTGATACAAACTCAAGCCAATAATAAAAAGACAAAAATCTACATTAATTGTTCATTAATTCTTAATGATAACTTTAAAATTACTAAACTGACTTTTTAAAAGCATATATCTTGCAGTACTTTTGCCTAAATTTCTACAGTAAAAATTCCTATGAACAATATATAAAAAATTCCAATTGAATTATCACAATCGAATCTAGATACATAAGCCCAGCACCGTATAAAGAAATCATTATAATTTAAGCAGGCACTAATTTAGTGATTGGTTTCACAATGGTCACTAATGCAGCCAATGAGGAAATAGCCCCTAGTACTCCTACAGTGCTGGGACTTAATTTAGTAACACCTAATGCAGTGAGTGGAATGAACATGTCACAAGAATTCTTTAAAGTATCAATAAATACATCTTTATGGCAGGTCATCAACATGTACATGTATTTGATGCTACCATTCACATCATACTTCATTGTAGAATTCAGAAGTTCTGAAGGTTTCAAGAATGATGTCCGATGTAAATCCATGAGATGGACAATTTCATAGAAATCTCTGGCTAGGTTTGCAATTATTGAAATGAGCCAAAATTTATTGGCTGTTCTGTTCCATTTTTCTGAATCTGTTTTAAGAAATCCACTTTTAGTCAGCCAAACTATATGGTCGGAGTAGAGGAACAGTGCATGAGCCAGTTTGCTTACTGTCAATGTTACTCTTAATATGGGGTCTTCAATGTGCATGCTGTTTAGAGCTGTGTAGCAGATATCTATGCATCTTCCAAGCCTTAAAACTGAAAAAAGAAAAATATTATTTAGTATTCACATGTTGTATAATAATACCACTATTGTTTAAAATTTTATATATAAATAAACTTTGTAACTTTGTAGAGACATCTAACGGACATACTTTCCTAATGACTTAAGTAAAGTATTTAGAAAATTAATTATACATTAGTTTAAATAGTAGTAGTTAACAATGAATAGTAAAATTTTATAATTACTTATAATACATTATTTATACTTTATTTATACACATTAGTTACACTTTTTGGGCAACATTTCCATACTGTGCAAATAATTAGGTACAAAAAAGACCTTGCTGTGATTTTTATAAAATTAAATCTATACTAATATTATAAAGAGGACAGATTTGTACCTATTTTTGTATGTTTGTAATGAATAGGCTCAAAAAGTACTGGGCCGAATTAAAAAATTCTTTCACCAATAGAATGCTACATTCTTCCAATTTGACATAGGCTACATTTCATTTTGAAAAAAAATAGGGATCCTTGGTAAAATTTGAACAATGTAACCGAAGGTGTAGAAAAATGAGTCTTAAAATGTCTTTCGTCAAATGTGCTGGCGAAACTATTAGCAATAGAACAAAATAATGTACAACAATATTGAAGAACATCATAAATTCTACAAAAAACTCCGCGGTAGCATATGTCCAACTATTGTAGTTATGACACTACAACAATCCAAATTTCCAAAAATAAATAATTGTCTACCCCGTGCGAAGCCGGGATGGGCTGCTAGTGTTATATAAAATTGAAGAAATCAAATATTGGCTGAATTGTTGCTGTAGGTAACTAGGTACACAGTAAATCTTATCATAAGATACACTTTTTGCCTTAGCTATAAATCCAAGGCAATAAATAAAATGTAATAATTTATCAGTAGTTAGATACTTACTTTTTCTGAAAGAACTAAATGTTAGCTCTAAATTTTTTATTCTGTCAACGGAATACTTGTTTGCATTCCTGATTTCCAATTGATGCCAGACTAGACGACTTGTGTACTGAATAAGCCTGTAAAGAGAATCTTAATATTTTATCAGCCCAAATTAATTGAAAATAGTATTTCAAAGTATTAATCTGTATTTACAGGGATATGAGCACAATACTTGAATTAGATAAACCTGTTTTAGTGACTGTTACTCTTTTTTTTTCTTTAAAGAAACGCTACAAACCTGGCTAATTTGTCTCTCCCAGTGGTCTGATTATTTACTTTGATTATTACGTCCATCCTGACTCGGTGCACTCGCGGGTGGTTTCACTTGGACAAAATGGATATCAGTAGCAATAAAACTTATTTTTTCTTTATCTGACGTATTTACACATTATCAGCGTGATACTGTTCATTGTTATTACATGTATATTAAGATATTGTAGGCACTAAGTACATAATAGTTATATGTTTACGTTTTTTGCCGTCAGCCGTCAGTATGAAACTGTGAACCTTGAACTGTGTGCATGAATAAATACGACTTAATTAAAATTATAATTACAGTATTATTCTGTGCTACCTTGACCCGACTCTATTTAATTTTAGCTGGGATTTACCGTTTCTTCTGCAATTTTACTTCTAAATAAAAAGTAGTTTTATGTCAACAACAAGAGAGTTTTTCTCGGTCAACACTTCAACAGTAGACCAACTTTCTTCTTTATTTGACAGTTGTTTGTTTGTTTCTTTGATCCTGGATAATAAATAATCGAAAATATAATTCCAGTTTTTCACAAAAATTTTTCTTTATGTCATGATAAAATTATAAAATAATTGAAAATTCTGGTTTATCTATTTATAGATTTACCTTCATTGATCATAGCATCTAATATTTCAAATTTTAATGTCGTATTAGTCTAGAATCCCTTGTATCCACAGTTAGAATAAAATTAAAACTTAGTTACAAGCTTGTCAATGACTATTTTTATTGATTGAATGGAAATTGAATGTACGAAACCACCAAACTTCCGTACTTAAGTATTTTCCCCAATTTAGAGGTAATAAATTCAAATTCACAACATAGCGAACTACCACTACGATACCTACCATTTATTGTATGTATTAATGATATTTGTGAAATATAAAATTTTTAGAGCCATTTTTTATATATACAACGCTATCTGCAAATCATGGACCATCGCAAACATCTATCTATATATATATAATTCAAAGGTGATTGACTGACTGACTGACTGACATAGTGATCTATCAACGCACAGCCCAAACCGCTGGATAGATTGGGCTAAAATTTGGAATATAGATAGATGTTATGACGTAGGCATCCGCTAAGAAAGGATTTTGATAATTTCCACCCCCAAGGGGATAAAAAAGGGGATGAAAGTTTGTATGAAACTTTGTCAGTTTTAAACCGATCGGGTTTAAATTTGGCATGCAGATAGATGTTATGACGTAAGCATCCGCTGTGAAAGGATTTTGATAATTTCCACCCCCAAGGGGGTAAAATAGGGGATGAAAGTTTGTATGAGACTTTGTCAGTTTTAAACCGATCGGGTTGAAATTTGGCATGCAGATAGATGTTATGACGTAGGCATCCGTTGTGAAAGGATTTTGATAATTTCCACCCCCAAGGGGGTAAAATAGGGGATGAAAGTTTGTATGGGACTTTGTCAGTTTTAAACCGATCGGGTTAAAATTTGGCATGCAGATAGATGTTATGACGTAGTAATCCGCTGTGAAAGGATTTTGATAATTTCCACCCCCAAGGGGGTAAAATAGGGGATGAAAGTTTGTATGAGACTTTGTCAGTTTTAAATCGATCGGATTGAAATTTGACATGCAGATAGATGTTATCATATAAGCATCCGCTAAGAAAGGATTTTGATCATTTCCACCCCTAAGGGGGTAAAATAGGGGGTGAATGTTTATATGAAGCTTTGACAGTTTTACACCGATGCAGATGAAATTCGGCATGCAGGTAGATGTTATGACGTAGGCATCCCCAAGTAAGGATTTTGATTATTTCCACCTCCAATGGGTAATGTAGATGAACTTTGTAAAGCTTGTCAGTTTAAACCGATCGGTTGAAATTCGGCGTGCAGATGGATATTATGACGTAAACGTCCCTTTAGAAAGGTTTTTGAACATTCTCACCCCAAAGTATGATACTTTGCCAGTTTTAAATTGAGCGGGCTGAGAATTTGCATGCATAAATTTACTATGACATAGGTATCTCCTTAGAAAGGATTTTGATAAATTCCACCCCTAAGGGGATAAAATAGGGAATGAGAGTTTGTATAAATCTTCTTAGCCATTGAATTTAGAATCATTGAATCTTTTTGAATTACATTCGGTAAAACGATGATTTGGGGTCTGGGTAACGTTTGATAGTTTCTATCATAGATGTCCCACGGGAACGGGAACTATGCGTCAATGAACCGGGACTGTCTAACTCTTAACCACTGATCTTATTTTAGAGAGATTCGGTACAACAATAGTCGATAGAATAGTTTTTATTACTCAAACCTTACGTGATCGGGCACTGTACTGGTAAGATCCCTGCGGGATTATTTATTTATTGAAACTACGATAAATCATTTTAAAATCGGTAAATCTTACTTGGGCACTGAATTGATTCTGTCAGAAGTCATTAATCTACGCGGACGAAGTCGCGGGCAACAGCTAGTTTATTTATATTTAAACATTACATTTATCATCACAGGCACACCTTATACAACAAAAAACAAATGCCGTTACACATTAAGAGTAAACTTAAAAAGTACTATAATCTTCATCAATATTAACTATTACCTGCACATAATCCCTTAACAACCGTAAAATAACTTATACAAAGAAAAACATTTTATTTATTGCTTACATATCTAATAATTAGTTTATGTAAACGTATATTTGACAAATAAATTACATTTCTTTCAATTTAATTTTCGAGGTATAATAAAGATTTTGACTTCACTTTTAGGGACCATGGTGTTCAATAGTTGGTAACACTGAAAATAAGGCGGCAACCAATGATGGTGGAAGTGGAAGCGTCGTCACAAGATTTTCGGCAGCCATATTGTTAATGGATTTTATCATTCAATTTCATTCATATTTCGTCGCGCGATGCGTACGTAAGTGGCTCAGCCGTCGAAATTTTTGTTACTTTTACCTTTTGTGTTAATTAAAAATAGTTGAAAACTGTGATTATTGACTTACTTTGTGCAGAGTGGAGTTGTACAGTGAATTGTGAGACAAGTCGCTTATTTCGTTGTGGTAAGACTAAAACACTATTGTGCGTTGCAGTGATTTATCTTCTGGAACAAAGCGACATTTTGAAGTGACGTGTAATGTTGTGCATTTCAGATAGTGGTTCGTCGAACTGAGCTTTCATGATTGGATTACCGCGTAGCGATAGAGATAGAGATCGAATAACGGTGAAAATTCGTAACATGAAGAGGAGTTCGTCCAGGGATAGTATGCCGCGATCGAAGAGAACACGCAGTAGTATAGGCAGGTATGACGACAGCTCCGACGAGCGCGTCACTCCTGAACGAGTTCGCCGTCGGGTCCGCTCGCCGAGCCCCCGGGGTCGTTATGTGTCGCCCCATCGCGATGACTATGTGAGGTCCCGTGACGTCAGAGAGGATTCCGTTCGTCCTTATTACAAAGTTTTATGTGTCAGTGCACTTCACCCAAAAGCTTCAGATGAAATTGTCAAAGATACTCTTTACAGAGAATACAAGAAATTCGGAGACTTCAGCATCAAAATTTCCCACGAATTAGATGAGAGAGTTGCTTATGTGTGCTTTCGTAGTGCAGAAGACGCCCGAGATGCTAAACATGCCAAGCCAAGGATTATTTTATATGATAAAGTGGCTATTGTTGACCCAGTTTATGAACCAGTTCGTGCTGAATACAGAAGCCGACCAAGAAGCATAACACCACCTGATTATGAGCGACCTTATTCTTATGCTTGGTCTCCAGTGCCTGAGAGACGTAGACCTCCTCCAGATGATAGGGCCTATGGTATACCTCCAACTGTTCCTCCTCATCATAGAGATTTTCGACCTCCTATGCATGAGTACCCTATGGCTGGGCCTCATGGTCCCCCAATGCATCACAGACCACCTATGCATCACCCACCACACCCTCATTACATGCCTCGCCCTTACATGCCACGCCCCCACCACCCACCTTTTGAGAAAATTGAGAATAAGAAAGACAAATTTCCCAACTATTTGCACCATGTCCAGCCAGAAGATGATCCATTGGCTACTAGAACTCTCTTTGCTGGTAACTTGGAGATAAACATTTCAGATGAAGAGCTAAGACGCATATTTGGGCGCTATGGTATAGTGGAGGACATAGATATAAAACGCCCACCACCAGGTACTGGGAATGCTTTTGCATTTGTCCGCTATCAAACATTAGACATGGCCCACAGGGCTAAAGTGGAACTTTCTGGCCAGTATATTGGCAAATTCCAATGTAAAATAGGATATGGCAAGGCAACTCCTACTACACGTGTATGGGTGGGTGGACTAGGTCCTTGGACATCTGTTGCTCAATTGGAGAGGGAATTTGATAGATTTGGAGCAATTAAAAAAATTGAATATGCTAAAGGAGAACCTCATGCTTACATATTGTATGATTCAATTGATGCAGCCCAGGCTGCTGTAAAAGAGATGAGAGGTTTTCCACTAGGTGGTCCAGAAAGACGTTTACGAATTGATTTTGCTGATGTTGGCACTGGGGGTCCTTATAGACCAAAGCCTTATGCACCACCTGTTGGTGAAGATGGTAGACCTGTAGAAGGTTATGAAGGATATGAAGGTTGGGAAGAAGGTTATGCATATGGAACCCCTGGATACAGAGGCAGAGGTGGCCATCGGGGTCGAGGGCGGGGAATGTACCGCGGAGTTTATCATGGTTCAGGGGATTATCGTGAAGAAGAGTGGAGGCGTGCACCAGCTGATGCAGAATATGAAGGACGTGTTCGACGTTCCGGTTCACGGGAACCGGGCGTGGATCGCTCGCGGTCTCGTACGCCACGGCGTCGGTCTCCCGACAGTGACTCAGATGGATCCCCACGTCGTAGTGGTGGAATGCTGGCATCGGCTCGGACTTTACCAGAAGTTGTTCGCAAAGCCACTACTATATGGAATGGTGCACTGATCTTAAAGAATTCCTTGTTCCCTACTAAGTTCCATTTAACTGATGGTGATTCTGAGATTATTGATAGTCTGATGAAAGATGAAGATGGCAAAAATCAGCTAAGAATCACACAAAGATTGCGTTTGGATCAACCAAAACTAGATGATGTTCAAAAGCGCATTGCAACCTCCAGTTCGCATGCTATATTCTTGGGTGTGGCAGGGTCTACAGCTTCTGTTACAAATGAAGATGCAAGTATTCAGACTAGACCCATGAGGAACTTGGTCTCCTACTTGAAACAGAAAGAAGCAGCAGGTGTGATTTCCTTGCTTAACAAAGAAACAGAGGCAACAGGCGTGTTGTATTCATTCCCACCTTGTGAATTCTCTACTGAACTTCTCAAGAGGACATGTCACAACCTTACTGAGGAAAGTCTAAAGGAAGACCATTTGGTGATAGTAGTAGTGAGGGGTGGCTCAGCCTAGTATGAACTTCTGAGCTCCCAAACTGGGCAGGTCACAACTTGACCAATGAGTTCAATGGGAGATCAGTAACAGTGGTGGTGATGGGGGACACTAATACCTAATATGAACTCTACTAGATTTACACATTTTGAGTTTACATAACTAGACTAAGTTCTTTTTAAAAAATTGTTGTCTTCGATCTTCATTATAACAATATGTATACTTGTGATGTGTAGTGATGTGAGGTGTTGTTAATCAAAATTGTGAGTTTCACATTACTTGTGCAAGTGCTGTGTTAGCCTTGTAGTGACGGCAATAATGTATTTATTGCTAATAAATGTAGATATAAACTATAGTTTTGCTAGAATTAGCAAATATTCACTTTGATTGAAATGATTGAACATTAAGTGTATATTCATTATGGACAAAGTTATAGTGTATTCTTTATTCAGTGTATGTTAGGTGATGTGTAGTGTAAGTGTGTGAACTTGCAAATAGAATATTTCATCTTATGATGTAGTTTTTTTAAACCTTGTGAGTTGTGCTCAGGCCAGTGCAGTTGTTTAAACTAGTGAATAGTATGTGATGTTGAAATGTGCCCTCAGTGATAAATTGATCACTTGAGTGAAAATCATGACTTGAAAGTCACTGTTCAGTAACCAAGTGAAAATGCTTCAATCCAAATAAAATTCAGTGAAGCCTAGTGTTTGTGTTGTGGTCTAAATAGACTGAACTATGACAATGAGTGTAGGTAGATATAGTGGTCCCTCAGAGGGCAGTTCCCCAGTGATATGTCTCAAAATGTGATCAGAAATAAGGTGAACAGTTAGGTATGCAACCTTACTTATTATTTTCACCATTTGGTAAGTATTTACTGGGTATGGACACATTCCCTTTGCTTTAAAACCTCCCTGCTAAATGTGATATTAACTAGTTCTAGTCATGCTAATGTAGTCATCATGGAATTCCTCATAATATATGTCAATAAAGACAAAACATTTAGGTACCTACTAAGACTGACAAGATAGATTTAAAACCAGGTATTGCAATTGCAAAGTTGTTCCATTCTCAATCATATCATGTAGTAATTTCACTTAATTGTTAGTTATCTATTTACATTATCTATGAATTTTAATTGGGTCATTTTTAAAATATTTTTGTCCAAATGTATGTTTAAGTGGATCATAATTATTAATATTAATTTTTGTGCTATAATTAACATGTTTTAAGGACTAAACACATCATTACTATTGTCTTGTGATCATTTACATGCTATATTAATCAGTAATATACTGTCTTAACGCCATAAAATTCTATTGTTAAATAACTTCAATTGTCTGATAATACTGAATTACTATTATGTAATAAAACAATAGTAAATAATGTAAACAGATACCAATAATGTTGAGTCATTAACTTCAGTAATTTGGAATGATTCATAAATAACATTCTTTATAAATACATGTTAGAACAACTCGAAGGAATTTCTTATAGAAAAATGCTTGGTTGAATAATGGTCCATTTAAATATACTAGTCTCTATTTTCGTGAACAAGTTTACATACCTACTCCCTAACTAATTTTATAGTTGAACATACATTTAAAAATAAATTCACCACAGAAGATATAGGTACTTATTCATAATATTATATTTCGATTCCTCATTATACTTACCTATTCATTATTCCGACTCGCTTCTATTTAATAAGATGGGTAAGATGTGACAAGGCTAAAAATCATGAATTTTTTGAAGGTATTCTGGATATCTGGTACCTGGTGAAAAGTGAGCATGGCATATCATAATAATTATGCACCTTCGTCATCAGCTAATAAAAAGCATTATTTTAAAATTAAACGATATTTTATTTTAGGCTTCATCAAAGGTGCATAACAAATATTGTCATTCATTATTTACCTATAGCAAGAATGTTGATTATTTACCTTGTCTGGTCTCGCCTATTTTAACATAAACAGTCGAAATTCCACATACATTTTAGGTAATTAGAATGTAGGTAAATACGAGCTGCAATATGGCACGCACCTGCACGCAATTTAGCTGGGGTACCAGTTCGGGAGCAAATCCTGGGAGCAGCTTATTGTTTACATTAACTGCGTAAGTATTTACTTATGAGAATGGTATTGGTAAGTAAAATTTTTCTAATGATTAAAAAGATCCTTTTATGTTAATAAAATCTTTACTTAAGTGAGAAATATACTAATTTTGCTTCTTTGGGCTTAGAATATTTAAAAGCAGAACAGTTATTGTAAAAGGGCTCGTAATATGGAGGGCGCGTCGCCGCCTTGTTTGCATTGAATCATTATCATGTTTGATAATAACATTCTTTCGTTCCTACGTGTAGTACAAATTAAATTTCTACTAATAAAACAAGCATAATATTATGCTCTAAATAATCAGTGTTTACTAACTATACCGTTTGCGCCATTTTGATTTTTATTTATAGGAAGGTCCAAAGGTCAACGACACGAAGATAAGTCCGCGTACAATAGCAATGTCGGTCATACATAACGGGTATTTACTTGTGTTTTCTGTGGCTGTGATTCAATAAACGTTTCTTTTTAAAACTACTTGAGTCTGTTATTTTACTTATCCTCATTATCATTATAATAGTTACAGGTACCTCGCATTTTAGGAATGTGGGGGCCTATGTAGGTAATTCAACTCAAAGACAAACTTATGAGGCGTATTTAGATCAATTAGATTATCGGAATTGGATAATTTTATTCGTTATGGTTAGTAATTTAGTACTAAGGTTCTGCCGTCATTTATCATTCAAGTTTCAAGCAGAATAAACGGAGTTACTTATATAATAGGTACCTGTTAAAGATTATTATTTTTTGTTGATAGTAGCTTCTAACGTTCTAAAGTTGCTGCTGTTTAGAATAAGTAGGTATTGGGTGGGTAGATAAAGAACTCTAAACAGACAATATTTTGATAGATAAACAATAAATAAAAAAATCAACTGTCAGGATTATGTCAATTGCAGATTAAGTTCTGTTTTATATTATCTTCTGAAACAAATAGTTAAATTGTCCTAAAACATGGACAAGGGAAAATATAAACAGACAAGTAAGTACGTACGATAGACACCATCATTGACAATTATAATGTTTACCTAATTGCTATAGAGATACCTTTTTATTTTGGAAGAAGGGAAATCTATAAAAGTGTACCAACACTTACTTTTGGTTTGTTATTTTCTAAACCCCACTGAGAAAAAGGAGAATAACCTAAAATATCCCATATTTATACTGAGAAACTTGCATGTTCTTACTGAGATTTTCGTAAAATCGATACAATACAACAAATCTCCTTTGTAAGGTCGGTGTGTGATTGCGATTACTATTCCAACGAGGAAGCCAATCTCATAATAAACAGCATATTTTTGCAACTTAGGTCTAGACTATTCGTCGCCTGTGATGAATGCACATAAAGCTCTCCAGGACAGACAGAGCGAGACAAATTATGATGAGTATCTGATGGCTATGAAACGGGTGCACCACGGGCATTCTGTCGTGAACGATGTGCCGATTGAGATAGAGACCCCGAGAGCTCGTCGAAGGAAGCAGAGCATGCAGAAACAGGCTATGTATAAATCTAAGTGTATTTCTAGAATTACCTAACTATATAGATCAGAATGGACCTAAGAAAGTTAAAAAGACCAATACTCAGGTTTCAACAATCACTTTTCGGTACCTACCTACTTATCACTACGTGTAAGGTACGTAAGTAATTTGCACAGTGCTGGGTTCGAACCCCGGACTGCGTGCATCACAATGCACTTAGAGCTTGGCATTGTTGACAGTCCTATATAATTTTAAATTTATTGTAGGTACCTACATACCTATTGACTACCGAAAAACCAATTAAAGTTTCATTGGATTTCGACTTTCATTATGAAACAAAGATAGATTGGAGTAGGTTGATTATTGGCCACTGTAGGTAGGTACCTACGCTGTCCAGAAACCCAGATTGTTGGTAGCAACTAGGGTTGCCACCCTTTTTTTGGTACCTATTAGTACGTTGACGATTATAGGTAAGAAAAAAGTACATAGGTAGTACAAAAATAAAGTACAATTTATTCTTATTCATTACTTATTATATTTAAAATTATATTTTTATTGCTTTTATTAAATTAGTATTTTTACTAAACAATTGCATTGAAATAACACAATTGCATCCTTACTAGAAATTGTCTAAGTGGCGCTGGGGAGCGGCGAAATCGATTCAACATAAATCGATAAATATCGATATCAAATCGATAATTCTACCAAAAAATACTTACGACTAATAGAAATGAAGTTTGCAAAAATAAAGTATTTTCGTGTAGGTACTTTATTATTTTTATAAAGTATAGAGTACAATTACCTTAAATAACGTACAATACTTTATTATAAAGTATGGGTGGCAACCTTTGTAGCAACCCACGGTCTGTGCCCTGTACCCACAGTAATTGCTAAGTTTTTCGAAAAACTGAAAATAAATAACCCAATAATATTTGGCCCTACCCAGGAATCGGGCCTGCTTAGGCTATTCTGTAAGATGTCAATTCGGACTAGCGAAGCATTCTCGCCCGTCATTGGTCGAGATCTCACAACCAATGACATGGCGGACTGCGATGGAGCTCATTGCTCGGTACTACTTCATGAGCAGATGAGACAGTCCTTTTTTGTCACAAACCCACTATAATTACCGGCTACCGAAATTGGAAAGGTTCTTATAATTTCCAGGCTAGACAGTAAAGACACATTGAACTCGATGACGGAGGCGGCTCGTATGGGCATCATAGCGTCCATGGTGCCTGATGAGATCATTTACAAGCATTGCGACTATTCTATCAGAAGTTATGAGACCGCCCTCATGTTCTGTGATGTTTCTGGTTTGTATTTACTTGGAGATATGCAGGTCTAACTCTAAAGGGTTGATTTTTAAGATGTGGGTACACATTTACCTACCTACTTATATTAAACGATGATAAACCTTATTGTGTTAGAGTTTAAAAATTTTAGCTTAAGCTCCTTTCAATAACGTGCTATGATGAGACACAGATTTAGATTGTCTAAGGTAGAATTTGGTGAAAATGTAGCAGAGCCTCGTTAATTTGACTAACCGTAATGTTTTTTTTTATAAACGGATAGAGGACATGTGTCACATGAGGGCTATAAACTGCAGGTGATCTCATAAAAGAAATCAAGCATTTATTTAGGTACCTGTAACTCCTCATATAGGTCAGTTATGCTCATGCTTGCTTGTTCCATTGATATAATAGGGTGACCAGTGGGTGCGTGATGTCTCAGTAAATCATTATACGTCGTAATAATTTCCCGCAGTATAGGTAGGCAAGCAGAGGTGACCAATACCTACATAGCACACAGCTAAGTATATTGTCAATTTTAAAAGTCAAAAGTCTTTTGAAGATTTTAGGGGTACTTAGCCTTATAAGTGTCAAAAAGTAGTATCCAAGTAAGAATGAAAGAATTGCCAAACTTAAAGAAGATTTATTTTAATTCAGTCAGGTAAAAACATAGGTAATCTTGTAACTACTATTCAAGGTTTTACCGAGCTTTGCGATAAATACACAATCTCGGGAAGTGGTGGACCATCAAGGCTGACGAAAGTACTGAACTCCTACATCGGAGCCATGGTACAGGAGATATTGACACATAATGGGGACGTGCTTAAGTTCTCCGGCGATGCGTTCCTGTCCATGTGGAAGAAAACAGCCCGGTTGTCCATGCAGGATGTGGTCCATAGTGCCATCGACTGCGGTCTTATTATACAGAAGAATTACGGAAATTTTACTTCTGATGTTGGTGTTGTTTTGAAGGGTTAGTTGCTAAAGTTATCATCTACAAAAATATGGTTTGGTTCGAACCTTTAATCAAATCAATATGTTTGACACCTCAATGCTGCCTGCCTTATCACCACCATGAGCATGGATAATTTGCCTTTTGTTCTTTAGAACTGAAATAGAAGTATTGATTGATAGACAAGTTTGTTACAGTTTAGACTTCCTAACGGTAACATGGTAGGTGCTAATTCTGGTAGGTACCAGCCCTATTGTACGTCATACATACATACTATTAAGCCTTTGACTGCCGACAGAAAACTGCTGAAGGCAAATCCTCCGCTAACGTAGGTCACCGGTGACCTACGCGGCGGTTAACATGTTAAATACCACCAGGCATTTCGAAATCGAAAAACCTACCGTGAAAGTAGTTCGTATTCACCTTCTGTCATTACCCACTTACCCTAAAATTGTTCTTCTTCGTTATTGTTCTCCTCAAAACCAGTAAAAGTGGCAATATCAGCGGGCCTCTCGCACTTTTCGATCATTGGAGACGAAAACTTGACTCAATCGAGTTCATCATTCGTGATCATTGGCCAGCCTGTGTGGGACGTCAAGATGGCACAGTATATGTCCAAGTCAGGAGATGTGCTGACTGCTGCCAGCGCTTGGACTTATGTTAACGAAGCTGAGTATTGGACTCAACCGTGTGGAGACGGAAGACATACTAAGGTTTGGATTCAAATTGTTATTAGATGAGGTTGAGACTGTGACAACTTATAAATTATACAGATCAGGGACTTACTCTTGAATCTAATTCCGATCGATCGACACTGTTAAATTTCGTACTCTTGAACTGCGACACTAGCGCCCATTGCATCCGTATTGCGTGGGTATTTAATAAACTAAATGGTATTGAGTTTGACTTTACATTCCGTACTCTGAATGCTATTGTAACAGCTACGATAGGGGTTGTATAGTTTTGACATTGAATAATTATTGAGATTATATTACATTGAAATTGCATTGACAATGAGATTGGTTTCAAGATTAAGCACCCTGGTTTGTTCCTAATAATATAACACTACACCTTTCCGCAGCCACGTATAGGTAGGCAGAATTGCATAACGTAAGAACAAACTTTAAAAAAATATTTTTAGTATTTACATTAGCTGGATATTGACCCCGTTAGGTAAACTCTTTCTCAGTTCAGTAGTGTCTTTTGCTGTCACCTGACCATCGAGGTAATCCTCAAATTATGTTATTGGAAAGAATATTACAGCTGTTAAGTTATTCTTTCTTCCTCACGCTAGGTGTTAATGTTTTATTTCCATTGTGTGTATACCTAACCTGTTTAAATGGTGTACAGTATAGCATGTGCCTACTGCCTATGCCTACATATCTATTTATCTATCTCTCTAGGTTTTAGGAGTTGGTGCCTCTTGGAAGAGAGTGGAAAAATTGCAAGAAAATTTAGGAGAACGAAAATGTGAGTGTACTTACTTCTATGCACTTACCTTGGTTGGTTCAATTTAACACGGTCAAAATTCCCAACGTATTTTTATTGTTAATTAGGTATACTTAACTGTTGGGCAGTAGTCCACTAGGCATGATCATCTAGTCTAATAAAAGGATTTGTCCTTTTCTGGCCTTTTTTTTAAGGGGGCAAAATCATTGTATGACTTCTCCCGCCTGGGTGAGGCGGAAGGGAGTGTTAGACTCTTACTGACTAAAATCCACCCCGTTACTTCTCCTGCACGTCGAGCCGGAGCCCCGGTTACCCGTTAGGTTTTCCGCGACTCCTTTTCTGGCCTAAGAAAATATTATACCTTGATCCCTAAATAAAAAATTCTTAATAAGTAGGTACCTAATTTCAGGTCATCCTTCTATACCGTACTAACCTTCTAACGTAGTGCTAGTACGAGCTAGACTATTTAAATCTTTACATTATTACATGGTTATGACTATTTTGCGTAACCTTTCCAGATTCCGAGACGGTAGGGTTTGCAAAACAACATCGCGACTCTACGTACTCGACAGACTCTAGCGACTCGGCAGCTCTCATTATGTACAAGGAGTTCTCCCGTAAGATTTCTTTTCCGATTTCTATAGTAAAGTAACATTACTTACAGCTTTTATTTTAGTTTTAGAATCAAGTTTTTTTTTCTTTTTTGGCAACCGAGTCTCCAAAACGGTGTTGTTGACTATACTGCCAGTGTCGAGTGGTGACGGCAAAATAGAATCAAGTTAAATGTCCACTTTTCTCTAGTTCTTATTGTAAACCAATAATTCAAAATTGAAAGACATTATAAGAAAATTTTAATTAAACTCGTCGATTCTGGAATTGAGTCCGAGGCTAATTGCTCGGCAGACGTGCTGACCTTGTTGGGCAGCCAGCTTGTGTCTTCTTCATCAATAAGGCAACAAAATGATGATCAAAAATAATTATAAACTCCAGAATGCTGTATGGACTTATTTCTTTTGTGTGGGATTCCTACGCTTGCGAAGTACATATCCATCAAATTTAGCATGTCGACCTCTCTAGGTACTTCTTCGAGCAATGATGTGATGTATCTTCGGCATTTGTAGTTCGGCCAGCTGTAATAGCAGCAGTAAGAACTTCATGGTACCCTGATCTTCGGCGGTTCATGGCGTTACCAGTAATTCGCGCAGTGGAGAATGATGAGCCAATGGATTTCCTCACTGAAATCCGCCGCGTCATCGTCGTCTTCCTCAATATCATCACGAGGACTGTCACTCCTGATGTACTTATTGAACTCGTGGATACTGTTTATAAGCGAGTTTCGAGGTAAAATCAAAATATCATTATTATGGCAGTTCCTACTTCTTTTGTCCTGTTAATTATCGGTAACTGGATGATAAAATGGCATATTATTATTTACCATCCAACGTATTAATTGATTGGAAACGATTAGCACCACCTATGCATAGTGGACACACGCATTACTAGGGAGTTACAAATACGTTGTCGGCTTTTTAGTCTGCCACTTCAGTTGAAAATACCGCGCACATGAAATGTTTAAAGTTTCCAGCGTAGATGTTCTATACTTCTTCTGGCTTAGGGCATTCTAGCAAATATTAATAAACGTAGATCCTTACTAATATTATAAATCTGAGTTTGTTTGTTTGTTCCACCTTCACGTCGTAACTACTCAACCGATTGCTTTGAATTTTTGCAGACGTAAAGTTAGAAGTCCGGATTAAATAATAGGGTACTTTTTAACCCGGAAAAATTCATATTCCCGAGGAAAAACAAAGTATTCGTATAGATGGCGCTGTGTGTATTGGTATATGTCACATAGGCTACTTAATATTCTTTTGTGACGCGAGCGAAGCGGCGGGTAAAAGCTAGTATGTAAATAAGTAGATTTGTAGTTGCTGAATTATTATAAGTAACAGGCTCATCAATTTCACCACCTCTCTAGCTTGACGTCAGAATCTGGTGGACTAGTTAATAAGGTGTCCATGTTCGACAAGGATATGATGATCCTCATAGTATTTGGTTTGAGAGGACTCAGTCACGAAGACGAGGCACAACACGCATTACTGTGCGCCTACCAGATCAAGAGCCAGATCGTTGATCCGAATATCATTAATGTATCGATTGGAATTACTTCTGGTAAGATCTTGTACTTAATATCTATAACGTCCAGTTTCCAGTCCAGTAAGAGAGTACAAAAGATTGCATCATTGGCCGAGTAGTCGCAAGTGCGACTGCCGGGCAAGAGGTCTCGGTTTCGATTCCCAGGTCAGGCAAAGTAATTACTGGGTTTTTAAAAATAAAATTTTCAGTAGTAGCACGGAATCTGGAATCGTGCCCGGTATATGGCAATAGGCTCACCCCCTATTACATGGGACTCATAACATAAATAGTGAATAGTGAGTGTAACATTGTAGTATGCCACTGTACTGTACAGTGGCATTAAGTGCTGTAATTTGCACCTCTGCTTACTCCTTCGGGGATGAAAGGTGTGATGTTATGTTATGTGAGTACAAAAGTCTTGCAAACATAATATTATATATATAGGAATGTATAATTATGTAGAAATATCGACTAAGTTCCTTGCCAGCTTGAATTAGATGTGGAACCTATTTGAAAACCTTTAAAAGTCGTTAATTGATAAAAAGAATGATTAAGGAGTAGCTACTGGGAGATTCTTATCCCACTAACACTACTAGCCACCACCTACATGGAGCCCCCAATAGATATGGAACCTAGGCAATATAAATATGTTTTTATAATAACTATCGTGAGACGTACTAAATTAACTAAAAATCGCGGGTTACTCACGTGAATATATCGAGAAAAGCTCTACTAGTTTCGAAGCATAGCGGTGTTGAACCTCTTGAGCAGCGTGCTTGTTCGAAACTAGTAGAGCTCTTTCTCAGTATATTCACGTGAGTAACCCGCGATTTCTAGTTAATCCTTATCCTTACTAATATTATAAATCAGAAAGTGAGTTTGTTTGTTTGTTCCGCTTTAACGCCATAACTAAGTACTAAACCGATTGCTTTGAATTTTTGCGGACGTAAAGTTAGAAGTCTGGATTAAATAATAGGGTACTTTTTATCCCGGAAAAATTTGGTATTCTCGAGGGAAAACAAAAGTATTGGTATAGATGGCGCTGTATGTATTGGTATATGTCACATAGGCTACTTTTTATCCTTTTGTGACGCGAGCGAAGCCGCGGGTAAAAGCTAGTTCAATATAAAGATGTTCTTAAAAATTGAATTGTATTTTTAACAGGCACAACATACTGTGGAGTAGTTGGTCATATTTTGCGAAGAGAATACACTGTCATCGGCCCCGCGGTTAATAAGGTGCTTAAGACTTTGACTGCAAATAAAAAACTGTTGAAGGCAAATCCTCCGCTAACGCCGGTCACCGGTGACCCCCACGGCGTTTAACGTGTTAAAGAATTATACTACTGAGGATCAGAATCGTCTGAATATTAGTTTTTTATAATCAACATAGACTGCCTCGTTGATCGAGTGGTTGCAAGTGCGACTGCCGGGCAAGGGGTCTCTGGTTCGATTCCCGGGTCGGGTAAAGTATTACTGGTTTTTTTTTTTTTAATTCAGAAGTAGCACGGCGTCTAGAATTGTGCCCGATATACGGCAAAAGGCTCACCCCCTATTACATGGGATTATTGAAAAGTGGGGGTTACAGTGCCCTAATGTGCATCTCTGCCTACCTCAACGGGGATAAAAGGCGTGATGTATATCAATATAGATTTTGATCTACGTAAGATATATCTCTTTGAAATACGTACCTATCATAGATAGGTATGGTACTTAGATAGCCACATTGACACTCGAACATGGTATGGTAACAGTAAAGTTGGTAATAACAAAAAACGTTTCTTCTATATGTTTACCATCAGAGGCCTTAGTACAAGTTTGATTTACGTATAAAGTAATCGTATCGAATACGCGTTCGGCGCTCTGATTGGTTGGTTATTTGGCGCCGGCCAATCAGAGTGCCGAACTTGTACTCGTTTCGAATACTTTAAACGTAAATGAAACTAGTACTAGGCCTCTGATTGGCCGGAGCCAATGAAGCAACCAATCACAGCGCCGAACGTACTCGTTATGATGACTTTGGAATTACTTCGGCATCATATCAGCCATAGGACGTCCACTGCTGAACATCATAGACCTCCTGCAATGACTCCCAGATAGGCCAGTTGGAAGCGACCAGCATCCAGCGGTTCCCTGCGAACTTAATTATTTACCGTAACTATATTACGAGTACCGTCCCCTTTGAGTACCGTCATTATTATAAGACTGCATGGTTGGCGCGGTGGCTGGGCAACTGGCTGCCGCGCAACGTGTCGCGGATTCGATTCCCGCACGGAACAATTCTTTGTGTGATCCACAGATTGTTGTTCCGGGTCTGGGTGTCATGTGTATGTGATATTGTATGTTTGTAAAAGCACCCACGACACAGGAGAAAATCCTAGTATGGGGCAACGTTTATAAAAAAATAAAATTATAGACACAGTTAAAGAACAATAGGTTGCGGTCACCGGTGTCCTCGCGGTGTTTGACAGTTTAAAAGAAAGTTGCTGTTTCCAGGCAGCAAGACTAATGATGTGCTATCAAGATAAAGTGACGTGTGACAAGGAGACCTTCCTCCGAAGTAAAATTGAACAGGAGTATTTCAAGCAACTCGAGTCCAAGCCTTTGAAAGGCATCGCTAAACCAGGACCGGTGTATGAATTTAATTATTCTGGGTTAGTTAAAAATTTGATCCTTTTTTATCTTAAACGACCCATGACAAATAAAACTACGATGCAACGTCGCATCGCCAAAATGTGCGAGCTCCCTCTACGCATCGCAAGAACTTGCGCACTTAACTTGATTCGCATCGCGCATCAAAATCTTATCTTCCCAAAATCTTCTTTTTGCAGTATCTCCTAAGCAATAACAGAAGTGCACACTTCTTTTTACGATCCATGTCAAGACTTAGTTTTCAATTGAAAAAACGTTTAGTACGGTTGACGGTCGTCGAAGGAATGGTCACCCTGGGAGACGCCTTGTCACACGAAATTGCATCGTTTTTGTTTGCGTTGCGAACTCGCATCGCATCGCATTTTTATGTACAAGCCCTGGAGTCTTTAGAAATATATGCAGGCCAAAATAATAAGGATTAGACTTTGATGACGACGACGATGAACAAATGAAAACACTATAGCGTGTTCCATTTTATTTTACCATTCTAGATTATTAAATTTTTTAGGTAAAGCTTGATCTTATTTACGATGAATGTTAAAGTAAAAGTCTATCTATCTTTTTCTTCTTTCGGAACAGATGGCCAGAACGACCGCCATGCAGTCGACACCCGATCTTAGGGCGTAACGATGAAATGCGAGTCTTCAAGAGCACTCTCCAGAATGCCATGGAGCAGCAGAACAGGAGCTTCACAAGATACCGTGACCATGTGTATGGTATAGCCTTTACTGGAGAATCACTAATCGGGAAGACGCGTATGATAGACGAATGCCTCTTTGTCACTCCAGACTTTTTGCAGAAGGAGAAAATAGTTCTATGTTGCAATGATAATGTGAGTAAATGGGAATGAAATATGTTTATTTTTTGTTACTGATTATTCTTACGGTGCCGAAAGGTTTTTCTGATTGTGAGCTATTAACACCCGCGGCGCTAGAGAAGATACAAGTGCGTTAGCCGAGAGGAATTATTTTGCTGAGTATTGTAAAAACTTATTCGTAGAACAAGCGTGATGGGGATTTAATTTTTCTAGGTACCTTACCATTTATTCCGAAGAATCATGGAGAAACACTTTAGGAAGGGAAGCCGGAGAAATTCGCAAGAAAATAAAGAGAACAGAATAAGACAGGCGTAAGTGTTGAATAAGAAAATAATGTAATAAAAACAATATAATAACTTCCTAAAGGTAAAGGTTTTGAGAATTAGAAAGGTAATGCTATAATTATATATCATCTATATACTCTAAAATGGTCTGCTATTTTTTTTTTATATATATATTATCTATGGTTTAAGGGACTTTTCGTTCTGGATCATGTCAGTCCCGTTAGGACATATTTTCTTACATCTAACATACTTTTAAATTGGTCAAATCCATTTGGCCAAGTTAATTTAATATAAATTAAGTTAATAAAAATTGGCCAAGATCTTCATGCATCAGTGATACTGATGCATGAAGATCTTGGCAATGGCTGCAGACGAAATGGGAATGGTCTGCTATAAACTTAATGCTTGTTAGGCCGATATTACAGATCGCAGTTTAATTGATTAAGTTCAAGTTTATCAGAGAGAGTTGCTGGTGCTTTTACGAGAAAAAGTAGCGGTGTAAATAGTGAGGCTATACCTACCAGATAAAATGATGGAGGCTTAACACCTTAAATCTGTCGGCATATGAGACACAATAGAAAACAAATTGTGCCTCGCGTATATCTATGTTCTGGGTATCTTTCTTATACCATGAGTAAAAGGACAAATAAAACATCCAGTTCACCAAGAAGAAAAGTAACCTTTCATAGAACTAGCCTTTCTTTACTTACAAATTAAATAGTTCAAAGAATAGATTTGGATAGTCTGGTTCTCCCAGATGTGTAATTTTAGCACTTGAGATAACATCTTATCTCTAGGTTGATAGAACGCGTCTCATACTTCGGACTTGGAATGTTAGAATTAAATTATAACCTTAGAGGTATATTGCGCGGACAAGAATTAAGATGCAAACTAGGTTTACAATAATTATTGATTGATTTTTTCAGCTGTAGGTACTGTAGTTAAAAACCAAATTAACCTCTTGTCCGTCTATATATGAGACACAATAGAAAAAACATTGTATGTCGTGTGTCGCATAGATCTGCGTTCCGAAATTCACAGGTTAATCCAAATTCCAGAAATTTATCAAACTTTGCTTCCATTCACATATTTCTATAATTTCCAGCATCTTAATGGAGCAAACGACTCCACTTCAAGTTCACGGTATCAACACTGTATTTGAATGTCAGTTCCCATTGCCAGAAAACTTCAGATACTTTGGCGATATCCTATCCGAATTTCCTGTTAAGATCATCATTCAGGATATTTGCAAAAAGGTAGGCGAACAGAACAAAATTGACAATGACTTACTGAATCCTTACATAGGTATTATAAAAATATTCCTTTTTACATCTGTATGAATGTGATAAACTTAAAAACTGCTGGATGGATTTGGATACGGTTTTCACCAAATAGGTTTAAGGTGCATAACCTTAACCTTCAGGAATTATGGCTTTGAACACGCTGGCGAAGCTGCGGATGCTATACATCATAGAAATATGAGAGTAGTCTCTAGTGACTCCAACTACGGTCATGACACACTACTTTACAAGCTAAATTGGTTATATCAGTTAAATTGCAACTAGATAGGTACTTATCTCATCAACATCAGCCTAGCAACTAGGTGCTGTGAGATTGAGACATAAAAGTTGTAGAAATTGGTGAAAATGACCTTTAATATAATGTACTTTCAAGGTCCTGATTCAAATGTGCGTTGTAGCTGTGGAAGAAGCACAACACATCGACAACGAGTCTTGGCGTTTGATACTGATGCTGTTGGAAATTAAGATTCTGTTCTTTGTATTTTCCATCACCATTGCTGATGTTGAAATTATGTCAGGTAGGCCATATTACTTGCATCTGGTAAACATTTCCTGGATCTCATTTAATATCTTGTTTCGTCTAGCTGTCTTATTTGACTGTCGCAACCGAGGGGCGGGCTCGCTGTCATTACAGCAGTAAGTCCCCTCTTTGAGGAATGGCTTGAGACGCTACGGGGTCCTCACCTACCGCCTGACGTAGGTGCTTACCGGACACGGAAGTTTCGGTACGTTCCTGTTTCGGATTGGGCGGTAGGAAACGCCCGGGTGTCATCACCGAGAGGACCACTCGGAGGAGCATACGGTGGCGGTGTGTCCTGCGGGCCCAATAGGGCTGTTGCCGATATGGAGTCGCAGGGAACCTAACGGGTTATCCTGGCTCTGGCTCGAAGTGCAGGAGTAGGAACGGGGTGGTTTTTAGTCAGTAAGAGTGGTTTTCAGTCTGACACTCCCTCTCGCCCTGACCCGGGCGGGAGAAGTCATTGGAGGATTTTCCACCCTCAAAAAAAAAGCTGTCTTATTTCATTTGATAGCAATAAAGTGTCCATTCTTTCTTTCAGATTTTGCAAAAAATTGCTTCGAAAATAACATGATAAAGAAGGTTCTTCTGGCAGGCATCGATCGCACGTACCATGCTGCACTTGCATGTCAGCTACTAGACGTACAAGCTATACCTGCTGATTTAGAAAAGTAAACATTTACTCCTGTTTTCTGTGTGCACCACATACACAAATAGGGGTTATTGTTGCTCCCCCCAGGCGGGGGAGAGGGGGGGGGGGTACGATTCGCCTCTTTTTGGCAATATAAAAAAGTATTCTTTATATGGCCATACGATTATGATTTCCAGGGTTATCGAAAGTGCCAGTGGTGGGTCTCCAGGTTGGATACAAAACTTCTTGATAGCTTTAGTGCAAAGAGGAGCTCTTACTATAGTCACAATGACTCGTCAAGAAGCACAAAAGAAGCCAGGACTTGTGATGCCTGCTTTGACCCTACTACAGAAGGTCGTTGACGGGGAAGAAGAAGAAATGGCTCGAAGACGTAGCTATCAGGTCCTTAGATTTTTACTCCAGAAAATTATACAATCGGAAAGCGAACTTGTTACATCTGGGTAACAAGTTGTAAGAATAAAAATATAATTTACTACTTTTCAGAGTATTTACAGTTTCATGACCGTCAGTGTGGTGAGTAAGACGGATAACCAACTAGGCGACCACGAAGGTGACCATACAGTTCAAGTGGCAGTACTCGCTGACTCCTATACTTTCGAGGACATGAAGGTTGATATGGCTATGGATGGTAATGTATTTTATTTTAATTAAATGTTCCAATACCCATCAAAATTTATATTACAGTTTATGCTTGTTATGGTGAATAACTTGTGAAAAAATATACAAAGCCACAAAAGTGTACCTAATTTAAATTCCTCATGGACTTCCCACGTCGTGGGGACGACGGGGTATGCCGGACTCTTACCGGCTAAACCTAGTAAAACACAGCGGTGTTCCTCCTCTGTGTATGGCCGTGACCCGAGACGCCCTTTTTATATTTGATGGGTCGATGTTTGATCACTATCTCGCCTGGTGGTAAGCGATGATGCGGTCTACGATGGAACGCGTCGTCCCATATGCAAATTCACTCGGGCTTTGAAGACACCCAGGTTATACCCTTCAGGAAATACATACTCTGGCAAAGAATTCCACTCCTTAGCAGTACGCACAAGGAATTCGCCCTTGCGGATTCACCGCACCCGGCAGACCTCGATCTACCCCTATATTGCGGCAGGTCCCACCACGTAGCAGCCCTTGGAGGCTGATATCCTTTCTCGAGTGGCGCGCGTGGAACACAATGCTAAAGCCTACTCCGCTCATACAACGGACGATAGAGTCCCGTAGTCAGTCGCCCGAATTTACCATCAACTACATCAACCATATTTAACTCGAAGTTAAAAAGAAGAAGAAGGTTAAAGAAGTTAGGTAAATGAGAAGTCAAAGAACAATAATGTACACTTTCTCTATTCTAGCAATAATATTGAAAACCTACGACTCTTTGACTCCATTTGAGAAGATGTTGTTAAAATGTGGATCAGTGCTCGGAGACGTCTTCTCCAGAAGAATGCTTTTGAATCTACTACAATGTGATTCTCCAAGAAAAGTAGCCCAAGGTGAATTAATTCTTATTTAGCCTAAGGTTGGGATTGAAGGTCAAGGTATTGTATATACCTACATAAATAATCAGTTTATTTTATACGGAGACGATGGCCATGGCCATCTACTATGATTTTCTAACTATGACACCAAACAAAAGGTGGCTGTTATTATGTCCTCTTTGAAGTCCAAAAAATACCCAACGAATATTTTGAACTTGACTTACCTTAAACTTCTTCTACAGCGATAGCAAAATTATTCATAATTCGGGTACTGGAGTGTGAGGGAGGGGACTTCACTCACGATACCTCCTTGGTCCTGGTACACCCTGCGCCATCGGTCCCTGATCCCAAGCCACCGTACTGCGCCTGTTTGGGAACCCGGCAACCTCGTTAGTCATTCTTTATTTTTTGTCACATACAGTACCTACCTATTGAGAAGTAAGTATAGATTAAGTACCTGATCTATGTCAATAAGAGTTATCTAGACATAGATGGGGCACAATATTTACCTATTTGCCATTGTTTTCTTTGTTCCTTACCTAAACAAATCTTTTTCATCGAAGTAAAGGACATTCCCATCTGCCTAGCTACAGCCACTAAATACGTCATGTCATATATTATTTACAGCAAACTGCCGTGATCTTCCCATGTATGCGTTCTGTGGTTACATTAAATTCCGTCACTCCTTATTCAGAACCACTACGTATGAAATGTTGACTGAGACACAGAAGGTAAAAACTTTCTTCCAATTGAAGCACTATATTCTATAAGTACTATAGTTTTGTTTTGGGCTAGCCACTGACAGCAGAGTAGAATACATATGTCACAATGTCTACTCCTCGCTCGCAAGAATCGGCTCAGGAGAACGGCTTAGAATAAGTAGCTCCTGTGATTATTACCGGACTAAGGGACTATATTTTATAAACCGATGGGGCAGAGCAGCGTTTTCTAATGACCCTGATGTGTTAAAAATCTTTAGTATGCTTACCAGGCGTGAAGATTTTAGCAAATCTTTTTTGTAGAAGATACTTTAAGTCCAGCAGTGAATTGTTACGGCTGTTGATGATGAAGATATTTAAATAGGATAAAAACACTTTATCTCAGTCTTCTCAAATTTATCTTTACTTCCACAACAGCATGAAATGCATGCCCGCGCTCTGCTCTATTTGGAGCGATATACAAGGAGATGCACCAATTGCGGCGCTGGTTGCTTCTCCAGGCTCCTCGGATTACGTTGTGATGATGTACGTAACGGATTGACAAGTTTTATGTTTAAGATTTGAGCATTTAATTTACTTATTTTAAAGTAGGTTAGGAAATATGTGATATACGTGACTATTTCGTAGGTCCTTTTTATCAAGGGGAAATTCATCCATTGATTTCTCCCGCCCGGGTGAAACGAGAGGGAGTGTCAGACTCTTACTGACTAGAAACCACCCCGTTCCTACTCCTGCACTTCGAGCCGGAACCCCGGCAACCCGTTAAGTCCTCCATTTATTAGGTCCTAAGGCCATAAACTATGAAGGCTTTCATTTAATAGGATCCAATAGTAAAAGTGTTTGGGCTCGCTGCCATTGCAGCGGTAAGTCCCCTCTTTGAGGAGTGGCTTGAGAGACGCTACGGCGTCCTCACCTACCGCCTGACGCAGGTCCTCACCGGACATGGAAGTTTCGGGAGGTACCTGTGTCTGATGGGGCGGGAGGAAACGCCCGGGTGTCATCACTGCGAGGACCGCCCTGAGGACACGGTGGAACACACCGTAGCGGAATGCCCTGCGTGGGCTGAGCACCGCCGTGCCCTCAGGGAAGTGATCGGCGATGGCGACCTCTCGCGTCCGGGCCTAGTGCAGGCCATGATGCGGAGCGAGGGGGACTGGGATGCCGTCTCCTCCTTTTGCGAAGCAGTCATGCTAGCTAAGGAGGAGGCGGGACGCGTGAGGCAGCGAAGCGCTGCCTCCTCGCGACCCAGCCATCGCGAAGGACACACCGAGCGTCGGGGATCGCGGGACGATCTCCGGCCACCGTAAGCGCGGGCCTGCGGACGGCGAGCATGGGTGGCTCCCCGTCCGACCAGAAACAGACCCGAGCGTACGGCGCGTCGCGTTCCGCGCGCGCCTCAAAGAGCCATCAGACCACCACAGATGGGGCCCAATAGGGCCGATGCCGATTCGGAGTCGCGGAGAACCTAACGGGTAACCGGGGCTCCGGCTCGACGTGCAGGAGAAGGAACGGGGTGGTTTTTAGTCAGTAAGAGTCTGACACTCCCTTCCGCCTCACCCAGGCGGGAGCAGTCATTCGATGATTTTCCCCCCTTAAAAAAAAAAAAAATAGTAAAAGTGTTCCTAATAAAAAATAAAAATGGATGATCAGGTAAACTTAGTATAAAATCAAACGAATGTTAATTAAATAATAACAGCTAAGGATTCCTCTCTAGGGATTAATTTACGAAACAGAAGAACTAAAACGAACGCGTCTCCAAATCAGTGCTCTAAGTGCAGAAGCTAAGATCCCCGGAGAAGAAAACACAAACTTCTACGTCGGTGACACTAGCATGGACTATCCGGTAACCATTACAATTACAAATAAGTTCATTACAAAAGTAAAGATAAAAAGGACTTTAACTCCTTCAGCATCAAAGTTCAATTCATTGACTGAACCATAATATTATATTATTCTGTGCCCATACTCTTATTACTAGGTACTTATATGTATGTAGTTTATGCGCTGGGGTGCGTATACACATATACCTTCATAAAAGTGAGTTGTAAAATTAGGTACTGTTAAAATGCTAGTTATAGAATACCAGAGGAAATTAAATCATGACTTTTAAGTGGAGTGCCCTCATCTCTTTTTTTATGGAATAGGAGGGAAACGAGCAGACGGATCACCTGATGGTAAGCGATCAGCGCCGCCCATGGACACCCGCAACACCAGAGGAGTCACAGGTGCGTTGCCGGCCCTTTAAAAAGGAGTACGCTCTTTTCTTGAAAGTTTGGAGGTCGTATCGGTTCGGAAATACCGCCGGCGACAGATCATTCCACAGTTTTGCTGTGCGAGGCAGGAAGCTACGTGAGAAGCGCAGAGTTGTGGCCTGCCAACCATCTATATGATGGGAATGCATATGCTGTCGTGAGGGTGCTATGCACAATGACGCAACATTTGTTTTATTTTAAAGGTGAACATGCCAGCAGATCTTACCAATTACGAGCTTTTGGAAACCGAAGGCAATTGGATGAGTCGCGTATTAGGTACTCACTTATTAATATTTTACTTATTTTCTTAGATTTTTAACTATATTCAAAAAAAGAAGAAGGTTCTTATATAGATGTATGCATGAATGTTTGTGTGCGATTGTCTCATGATTGGCTGGACCGATTATGGTGAGTGCGAAAGTGTGTTATACTTAGGAGAAGGTTTTTAGTATATTAATAAACCGATTTCAAAAAAGATGGGGGTAAAGTCAGTATTTTTAAACGTAGTTTATAAAAGAATTATTATTTAACGTTAGATATCACAACACAATATGTTGACAAGGTTCTCTTTAGGTACTTTTAAAAGATTTAGTATTGTAGGGTTGCTGGTTATGAAATTAAAGCCCCGGTGATCCTGATGATGATTTATTTTTTGGCAACTTCACTGTTACATCAATTTACTATAAGCTAATCAAGATAGTTGCAGTCCTAAGTGGAAGGATAAAAGGGACTGCGTGGCTATTGCCTTTCAGACCTCCCCTAGCTGGCTAATTCCAGAAGACCGCTAGGCTATCGAACTGGAGTTAGTCATAGTTCGGTTCAGAGAAGGCTGCTAGGCTACCGAACTCTGATCCTCTAGCTAGTAGAATGATGATTTGTTCGAAGACAACTCAGCTTATATAGGCGGATGGTTTGTATGTGTGCTCAATCTTCATAATGTCATCTTCATCATGTCGTTTGTAGTTGTGGTTGATTTGGATAAACTGTACTAGATGGCGCAATGTGTTCGTTACAGTATTTTTATATCAACTTTCAATTTTAAGCAATATAGTCCCGATTTGCATGTGTGACAATAGTAAGGTAAAACCTAGATAAAAATTGCTGACTTATTTTGATAAATATACGAATAGAAACAATACGTTGTATCTTTCTGCAGAAAGTCAATCTAGGAGACCGTCAAATCAGATTTACTCGAAGAACAAGCGCGTTCGTTCGTTTTCTTCTATGGAGATAGAGAACTGCGAATGTCTGTCCATACTTCTGTGCGTTTACAGTCAAGTTCTGGACCACTGCCGAGGAGCTAGTAAGTTCGTAGACCATAGAAAAAACGACAAAAAAATTATCTCTGTATAAATTATTGTATTCGATTACGCAGAATGGTGATTTTTCGTGTTTCGTACTAAAAAGTGGGTCCGAAGACCGAACCCAAATAATTAAATATTTTCTATTCTAATGTCTGTAATAGAGAGCCTTATTGTCCATATTTCTATATTGTACATACCTATTATTTTTTTAATGAATTTTTGGTTAGGCTCATCCACTAATCTGGTTCGTCATCGATTCTTTCTTAAACCCATATGAGTCTCTTCACACTAGCGTTTATCGAACGCCTACGAGAGAGCTCCTTCACATTTGTCCAGCTGTGAAGGAGGTCTGTAACTGACTGATTTCTTAAGTTTGATGTTTTCACAGGTGAATTTCAGAAACTATACGAAGCATACTTGGAGTATGCAGATTTGTGCATAAATATAAGCATTAACATACCACAAGCGGTTCGTTTGTTATTTGAAGTCGAAAGTTTTATTGAGGTAAACAGCTAATCTTGTTAATTTTGGGATGTTGTAGATTGTTGCTTAGGCTTTACTTAATATATTAGTATATGAAAAAATAAACTTGAAGGGATCGTAATTATGTCTTACAAGGATCAAAACAATGTCAGCCATGGTCGTGAGGCGCCCACAGAAATTCTATTTTATCTATGGTGGCGATGCACATTGAAAATTCAACGACATATCAACAGATAGCGCCACAAAATCGTACATCACAAACTAGTTTACACGCGAATTAACATTCATAGAAAATGCCAACGCACAACCGTTGGGCCCTAATCCGCTAAGCATGATCACCTCGCCTGGTTGGAGGATCCTTCTTTTCCGATCTTAGGGAACTTTACTCTCTGTTCCCATTTTCGCTTATCCTTTTCGATATTTTTGTTAACTTCTAGACAGAGGACTTTTACCCAAAGAACCTGAATAAGAAATGGGTCAGAGATTTTTGCATGGCAAACATATTTTCCTTGCGAGGTATATGTATGCTGGAGTCTGGAGACCACAATGAGGCTCGGAAGCAATTGTTTCATGCCATGAAATTGTATAGGCATCCATTTCCTACTTCCAAGTAAGTAATCAACTATCATAGTCTTGTAGGTATATTACGTTGATGTAGAAATGGCAAAACCGATGTCCAGATGGCCAGAACTTTAGTTTAATCATTACTAAAACAAACTACAGTGTATAATTCAGACCATTATGTAGATGCACTGTGATGACAACAAGAGTTTCCAATATTTCCTTTCGAACACGAACATTTACGTTCAATTTTAATTCTTAAAGTTCAAGTATTTGAGTATTTGACCATTAGTTTTCAAAGCTTACAAGTTGTAATTCCTTGCAGACACATGATAAGATTAAATAACATGGGAGCGTCCTTTCATCAAGTGATGGCACTTTATATTGCGCCGAACTTCTACATTGAGAGGGAAAGTGGCATGATAGGCAACTTTTATGAAGATATTGCATTTACTCTGTATAGACTGTACAGGTTATTTACGGTAAGACACTGTCTAACTATGTACCGAATACTTCTACTCTTCCCGCATATCATAAGAGGCAACTACACGCAGTTTGCAGAACATAACATAACATAACATCACGATTTGTTTATCCCCGAAGGGGTAGGCATAGGTGTACATTATGCCACTGTACAATGTAACACCCACTTTTCACTATTTATATTATTAGTCCCATGTAATAGGGGGTGAACCTATTGCCATATACCGGGCACAATTCTAGACTCCGTGCCACTACTGAGATTATAAAAACCAGTAGTACTTTACCCGACCCGGGAACCGAACCCGAGACCCCTTGCCCGGCAGTCGCATTTGCGACCACTCGGCCAACGAGGTAGTCTGGCAGATTATTGTAAATTCTAGGTCTTGCTATAAACATCAACAAATACCATTAAATCATTAATTTAGTTAGATCATTTAGAATATCATAACATTTTGATTCGAAAAGGACCTTAAAGAAGCTAAAGTAATAGTCAAGTTTTTGCTACTTGCGAAAATGTGGTTAGCCGAAGTGGTATTGTTCTCACATAATTGAACAAACCAACTAAACAATGTAACCAAGAATTATCTTGTGAACATGATTGAAAAAGAGTAACCTATGAAGTTTCTTGCTCGTTCTTCTCCATACGAATCTTCACTTTGGAACGAGCAAATAGCTTCACTAGACTGAGCGATAGACGGACATATTTTTATATTCCAATATTTTGTTTTAACGTTCAGAAGTACCTTCATGGTCTAAATAAAATAAATTATTTTGACTTTGACTTTGAGTCATTGGTATAGGCGGCAGACCTACAATCGACCAAACGAAGGATGGTGATATGAATTATGATGATTAATAATGACAATAAATACGAAAAAAAAGATCCTAGTGACGTGTCTACAAAAAAGGAATATTTCACAGTTATAAAAGCTGTATTAATACTGTTCATTAGGAAGCCAAGGAGCCAGCGAACGCAACGTTAGCAGCTAAATGGTGCCTGCATTATGCTTTACGTACAAACTCCAACTTTCGACTGCTGTGTGTCAGTTACGCGAACATGATAGCAGATTATGGACAAAGGCAACAGGTGGGTTCTGTCGGAAGAAGGTAGACAGATCATCTTTCTAATGTATAGAGGATCGTATGACCTGACGAATCGCTTGATAGTAAGCTGCCTATATAGGTACCTACACCAGCAACACCAGCAACACCAGAGGAGATGCATTGCAAGTGAGTTGCCAGACTTTAGAGGGGGAAAAGGGTTGGCCCTATAAGTCACAAGTACCACAGTATAAACCCTAGGGTTGACTGGTAGAGAATGTCATATGGCATAAGTTAGCCTTAGGTATATGCCATAATCAAATTGTGTACATTAAAGACTAAATTAATAAATAAATAAAGCATACAATAGCTGACTTGTATATAGAAGAATTTGCCGATAGCAATATTAACCGGACCAACATTGATCGTTCAGCAACCATGTCTAATTATTTAGTACCTATGTATGATAAATACGTTTGCTCAAGAGACATGAGTGTGGCTTGCGTGCAGTAAACGATATTGTGTTTCTTAACCCGTCGAGCGTCCGCGTTCCTTATGATCCAACGGGTGCACACGTGACATTTGGAGAAAGTAAGAAAGAAAGAAAGAAAATGCATTTATTTGGCCATTGGCACACCAAAACAAGGATCATTACAATAGAAATAAAAAATACAATCAAAATAAAAACAAAAAATTAATAATAGATTTTATAAAACAAAAAGCAGCATGGAGCATTTTCTCTTATGATCCACCGGGTGCTCATAAGGACGCTCGAGGGGTTAAAGACATCCTATAAAATTATGGCGTGGACTTTGCGTAGCGTGTTTCATGCAAATAATGTCACAGTCATTCGTCACATCGCGATCGATTGGAACTTTGCATAAAGTATTGATTCGAGAACAGTAGAATTCTGAGTAATGCTTCAAGGAATACTTTGTCATTTATTTGTACACCTCAAAACGATGAACCAAAAAGTTGATTATCTACTTTCACGATGTAGTTTATGCAGCGGTTGACGTCATTGCAAAACTTGTCATAAATCAGGATTTTGAGTTGCAGAATAAGTTTGGATTTTTGTATGGCATAAGCCGGTAAACGAGCAGACGGATCACCTGATGGTAAGCAATCGGCGTCGCCGATGGACACCTGGAACACCAGAGGCGTTACAAGTGCGTTACCGGCTTTTTGGGGATTAGGAGTTTGAGGATCGTTGGAGATTCAGGGATCGGGGAGATTGGGGAAGGGGGGGGGGTTGTAATTGGGCCTCCGGTCACCCAACCTCACTCGCACAACGAAACACAACGCAAGCGTTGCTTCACGTCGGTTTTCTGTGAGGCCGTGGTATCACTCCGGTCGAGCCGGCCCATTCGCGCCGAAGCATGGCTCGCCCACACTTTGGATCTAGAATTTTAAGGTCCTTATAGGCGTTAATGAATGCTTTTTTTTATTGAAATAGTTCTCGATGTGCGAAAAGCTGGAGAACCGAGCAATGGAGATTTGTCGTCGCAAACGTGGTCAGTTGGATGTGACCGAAGTTCCGGCACTCAGTTATTTATACACAAGCATATTTCTTTTCTAGTTAGTACAACCTTCTTATACCTTTTTAAAAGTGACCATTTTCTACATTAGTTAAGGGGTAGAATTGGTTCTGTAATAAAATCATACATAATGACATTTTAAAATGAAGTACTTGATCTTCGGTAAAAACAACCGTTCACAGAAATGAAATAAGTGATTAATCAATAAGTACCTAAGTACTTAGGTATGTTTTTTATGGAATAGCAGGTAAACGAGCACACCTGATGGATCTGAACGAAGATCATCTGATGGTAAGCAATCAGCATTGCTCACAGACACGCGCAACATAAAAGAGAAACAAGTGCATTATCAGTCTTTTAAAAAGTTTGAACCACTAATGGTCATGTCTAAGGATCCCAGGCAAGGTTTTACCATTCTCTATTGCAGCGTTGACCATGGAAAAAAGATAGAAAGCTTGGAATTCGGTTTGTCAGTGATGCACATGCTAACCACTCGGACTGAGATGAACACGCGAGAATCTCTGGTCTTGTGCATGCTAAAGTTATTGCTAAGCGACCTGAAGATAAATGATATGGTCACTATCATGAGGGAATTCTTCTACTTGACTGATCACTATGATTTGTGCTGTAAGTATCACTATGATTTGTGCTGTAAGTTTTTTTATTGACTCTTACCAGTGTCTCGAAATGTTGAAAAAGAGCAAACTCAACCCAAAAATTGGACAAATCCGTAGACATGAGATTACTGAGTGATTACCGCCCGAATATTGCAATCGGAAACGTTAACCATTTTAAGTTTTGTTCTGAAATATCGTGCTATCTTTGTAATTTTTCAAAGAATTTGTATTTTGATGACAGAACTATTTTAGAGAGCGTCTGGGTTGAGGGGCGTATGAGTATCTGACCATTCGTTTTTGAATTTGTAATTAAAAATCAACAGTACAGGAAGGACACATAGGAATAAATTTACAGAGATAATAGAGTGTGTAAAAACAAGACCAATTAGCAAAAAAAAAAATTAGCCAACATGTACTAATTGAGTTAACACAGGTTCATATATATGCTCACCAACTGGTGAGTGCATAAAATAGCCATTATTATTTCTAAAATTTTGTACTTTTAGCTGAAACCTGGTACTATTATTATGCAATAGTGATCCTCCTTGACACTGGATACTGTGTGGAATCGTACGGAACTTGTGAGAAGTTCTACATGAAGAAAGGGGATGCATTACTAAGATCGAAGACTCCAGAAGCCGCTTGGAACTTTTTTGTTAGCATGTGGCTGGTGTAAGCAAAAACTAACCTTTCTTATTATTAATTAGAAGTCATATTTCTAAACATAGGTCGTGCAATAAAAACGAGAGTTGATGCTTTGTTAGTCTAGGTCGTATTATGGAAGTGTTCTCTCTCGTAAGTCCGAGTAAACAATAATTATTGTTGCATCTTATGCCTATAAAGGCGCCAATGAGACTATGATTTAAGAACAGGATCCTAGGATAGGAGCAAGGGCTTGCGGACGGCGAGCATGGGTAGCTCGCCGCCCGACCTGAACCAGACCGTGCGACGCGTCGCGTTTCGCGCGCGCCTCAAATAGCCATCAGACCACCACAGGTGGGGCCGAATAGGGCTGATGCCGATGCGGGTCGAACTTAACGGGTTACCGGGGCTCGGGCTCGAAGTACAGGAGTAGGAACAGGGTGGTTTTTCGTCAGTAAGAGTCTGACACTCCCTCCCGCCTCACCCAGGCGGGAGAAGTAATTCGATGATTTTTCCCCCCTTAAAAAAAAGGATAGGAGCAAAAATAATAGGTTTCTGCTTTACACTTCTTTTTAGAACCATAAGAGTAGGTGCATGGGAAAGATCCATATTATGGGAAGAGAAGATCAAGCAGCTACTATCTATGAAGCTGAACAGACATGAGTTCAACATGATGATAGTCATCAGACTGGTTGAGGGGCTCCTTATTACGTTGGTGAGAGAGGTGAGTTTTGTCTGACAGATTAAAATTGACATAGTTATGACGGTATGAATGAATGAGGATTGACAGATATAGAGCAACTATATTTATCCTGGAATTGAGAACATTTCAATTTTTTCATTTCTCTTTCGGGAGAGTTTTGTCATCAGTTCATAATGTCGCAATTTTTATCTTAATACGTTTATAACCAGTAATGAAAGACTTCTATATATATTTACGTGTGATTGTATAAATATGACGCTGTTTTCAACAGATGGACAACAGGAACATAAAGAAGATTATGGTTTTGGAGAAATATTTAAAACCTTTGTTTCTTGACATGGAAAAAGCATGTGCAAAATCTCCTATGTATCGGACAAGGTAAGAGCTTTCCTTTGATATTAAACCGTAGTAGGTACAAAATAAATGCCAAAATCACTTTTTATATTAACTTTAACACAATGACTCAGGGTATGCCTCCGAAGACCTAGGCAAATATGTATAATAATATCACATAGATATTGAAAGAATTAAAGAATACTGTTTTAAATTATAGCAGTCGTTTGTTAAGCTTGGAGCCTTGGAGGGCTTGGGGTTGCCAGAGCCCTCTAAGCTTAACAAAACTAAACCAAAGAAGTAAGAAAGTTTTAAATCTTCCAGATATTGCCTTATGTCGGCATACTACGCCTATATAAGGGGCAAGAAGCATAGAGCGTACAATTACTTGAATAAGGCCCGGGACCTCTCGAAGCAGTACTCCAACCTTGTCCTCATTTATTGGGTGGAACACACGCACAATGTGAGTTGGATTTTTGTACAGAATCTTATTTTATTCCTTACTTATTTGGTAACCTTCGCCTTTGGAGACAAGGGACATATTTGGTGAGACTTCAAGATTAATTTTAACGATCTGAAAACATAACACAGTAGATACCTATTATTAGTAACACTTGTACTTACAGCTTGTTTGCTTCTAACTGCCGATTTCAATAACCAATTTCAATCTAAACCTTTAGATTTTTTACGGGGGCAAACCGTCAGACTCTTACTGATTAAAAACCACCCCGTTTCTACTCCTGCCCTTCGAGCCGGAGCCCCGGTAACCCGTTAAGTCCTCCGTGGCTCCGTATCGGCATCAGCCCTATTGGGCCCCATTTGTGGACATCTGATGGCTCTTTGAGGAGCGCGAGGAAAGCCACGCGCCGTATGCTCGGGAAACCTTTAGATAGAGATCTATTTTTGATATTAGTTCTGTCAAAAATTAAGATCGATCCAAAGATTTTGTATTATGATCGATTATTGAAATCGAAAGTTAAAAGTACATGAATGACTTAAGTAAATAGGTAGCCCTAAGTACGTTTAAAATATTAGGTAGGTACTTACATAGGTTGATATCTAATATTTATAGCAACTGCTAAAGGAATTATATAGAATCTAGATTTAAATTAAGTAGATACTCATTGGCTTTTATTATCGCGGTTGTTTGCAGGTTATTGCACTTGGACATTGTTTAAACATAATAATAGGTAACTAGGTAACCTGAGCACTATTATTTCAAGACTTAGGTACTGTATTGGAATCTAGGGCACAGATTAATGTCTGCACATTAAATGTTTGTCATGACTCATGGCTGTTGTGGAAAATATTATCAGTATAATGCCGGAGTACTGAAACGTTACTCAATTTTAAGTCGTGCTTAAATATCATGCCATCTCTGTCATTTTACAAAGAATTAGTGGTGACTGAACTATACTTAAGCGCGACTTAAAATTGAGTAGCGTTTCAGTATTCCGACATAAGAGAAGTAAATAAAGTAGTCTTAGCAGAATAAGGGAGAGTTACAGTACAGTGGGATAATCCCGGGCTGAAAATGTTTGCGAATACCCTCGTGCTCAACTAGATTCAAGCTAAGATTAGAGTTAGAGCTGATAACAAAACATCACGCCTGTTTATCTCCGAGAAGGGATACGCAGAGGTGCTTATTACGGCACTTCATACCACTGTACAATGTAACACCCATCTTTCACTATTTTTGTTATGAGCCCCATGTCATAGGGGGCAGGGGGTGAGCCTATTACCATATACCGGGAACAATTACAGACTCCGTACTACTACTGAGCTTATTTAAAAAACCTAGTAATTCTTTACCCGACCCGGGTCCATTGCCCAGTAGACGCACTTGCGACCACTCGGCCAACGACGCAGTCCCTGGAGCTCATACTAAGTACAAAACTCATTATTAACGTTTAGTGTATAGATAGATAAGTAGATAGTAAGAGACAGGTAGTTTGTCCACATATCTAAGCCAAAAGGCCACTGACACGATGATGATTCACGTAATAAAGAGATCAAAATTACCGCCACGGTCGTTCTTCTGTCAAATTTCCGTCAAATTAGGTTAGAGCAATTTATTCAATTTGGATCATTGCAAAGGTCGAGTGTTTGAGCTACGGAATCCAACTCCCACAGTTGCAATTATACTCAAAGATACCGCTGCCTACTTATCTAAGTAACTAGGTGCTTAACTAAGTACTTAAATCTTGTTAATAGTCTTACGTGTAGGTGGTAAACCTATCAGTACTTGTCGCGGAGAACCTAACGGGTAACCGGGGCTCCGGCTCGACGTGCAGGAGAAGGAACGGGGTGGTTTTTAGTCAGTATGAGTCTGACACTCCCTTCCGCCTCACCCAGGCGGGAGCAGTCATTCGATGATTTTCCCCCCTTAAAAAAAAACCTATCAGTAGTTACCTAATTTTTACGGCTTGTTTGGTCACTCGCTGTACTGATTCTACTTGCGTGCTAAAAACTTTGAAAAAGAAACCCGTACTTAAGATGGTAGTTAGTTATGAGAATAGGTAATGCTTATAAAAAACTGCAGACATAATAAAACTAGCTACTTCCGCGCGGTTTCACTCGCTCTGCTCGGCGCCTATTATTCGTAGCGTGATATTTTATAGCCTATAGCCTTCCTCGATAAATGGGCTATCCAACAAAGAAAGAACTTTTCAAATCGGACCAGTAGTTTCGGAGATTAGCGCGTTCAAACAAACAAACAAATAAACAAACTCTTCAGCTTTATAATATTAGTATAGATAACATTTAAATTCTGCAGACTGTTTGAACTCCATTTTGTATTCATTCTGCTACGCAGTTCTGTGATGTTCTTTTGGGGTATTTTGGCTTCAAGGAAGTACATACACTTTCTGGAACAGCAATCGGCGGCAATTGCCAAAAAATGATGAATACGTGTATTAAGATTTATCTTGAAAAATCTTAAAGGATTCATCCGAATCCGAAACAATACTATTGTCTGCAATTAATACTCATCTACAAGATAATATTTTTAATTTTGTTATCATACATCTCTTTTCAGCACTGGAAAGGCACACTAAACCCCAAGTACATTGATTACTGGTCTGAACACATAGAACCGAATAATTTGCTGGATTTCAGAGATTTCGACCCTCAAAATAACATAATTATACCATACACTTTACCTTTACCAACTGATTTAGACAAATAAGTAGTTTTTTAATATTAAACGTATGGCAACACTTTAGTTTTAAAGAAGGATAATTTGAGTTCTTATTTTCTTTAATGGTATTTTTTAAAATAAAGAATATATAAAAATATCGTGAAGTTTCAATCAAATAAAAATCCATAACTGATAGGCAAAAATATTTTATTGAATAATAAAATTTTATAGCTACCATTTTCACTAAGGGTCGTTGTAGACGAGATTGCGATACGAACTATCCATTACCTAGTTACACAAATACAGACTTTACAGTCACGACATAAAGACTATCCCAGCTTATTGGAATGTGCCGGGACTTTTTTGAGTGAGCATACCTTTCAAGCTCTCTTATGGGCTTACAAATGGCATATTTACATCATGTATGCATAGTGTACTAATCTAAAAGGAGTTTTGGCCAAAAATTTAATAGGAACAGCTAGGATATTCTGTACCTGTCAATTCAACTTTCAAAGTGAGATGAATCGTATTCTGAGGGCTTAGTACGAGTTTCTTTTACGTTTAAAGTATTCGAAACGAGTACGCGTTCGGCACTCTGATTGGCCGGCGCCAATAAATCAACCAATCAGAGCGCCGAACGAGGTGTCGTTTCGATTAATTTAAACGTAAGAAAAACTTGTACGGCCTCTGATTAGTTTGTTCATCGGAGCCGGCCAATCATAGCGCCGAACGCGTACTCGTTACTATAAACGTAAAAGAAACTCGTACGAAGGCCTGTCTTCGTACATGGCGAGCCACGCTTGAGTTCACTCCAATATAGGCTAACTGATAAAGATAGGATTTTACGTGCACTTAGAAATAAGTTAAAATTGCCAATCTCAGTCTAATACGATACGATAGAAGACAATTTAATTTATCTACATTATACTAAGTACATTACATATTTGAATATTATTTCAACAATTGTATGTACAAAATTCAGTTTCAAACCATAAAAGGGAAAAGAGACAAAATGTCAATTGAGGTCTTACTGCGTGTATCTAGACATCGCATGTGGCCTATAAAGGCTTTCAAAACTAAAAAAAATCAAGTAAAAACAGACGCATCAATATCATCACTTTGTCCCTATTCCCGTCAAAAAAACCACGTAAAGACCGAAGTTGCTAAGGCGATTAGCTGTATGCCTTAGATTCCTATGCACATATCAATAATAAAAAAAAATGGCGTGACAAAGTAACGCCCTCTACATCTGCCATTTGGCACATAAGCCTCACAATCTCGTCTACAACAACCCTATCATCAAATCCGCAATGCAAAAATAATATACAGCCATTTTCATTTTTATATAAAACATCAATTAAGAAATTATCGTAACATGAACAACTTTACATTCTAATAAACGAGGATGGAATGAGAATAAAAAATAACATACAAAGGTATAAAATGTACAATTGTTTTGTAAAAATATTCATGTAATTAAACGAGTCGGGGATTTGGTTTTTAATTTTGGAACTACAGTCGAGTGACGTTATCATTGGCAGAAAAACTGCAAAAACCACTACAAAAAAATATTGGTATTGCCAGTATTAATATCAGAATTGACATGGCTATGGTTATCGACTGGGTTGGGCCCCTTAAATTAGGAGGGTAAATTTAAATTATCAAGCCATTGTTACCAACGCCACTTAACTATAGAACTGGTTTGATCAAAATAAGTAGAATATGTGTATATTGTACTTATTTTGATCAAACCAGTTCAACCAGGCTACAAACCGTGTGGTTTGTAGATGTTTCCATACATACTCAAGTAATAATTAAATGTTACCTTATTTTAAAGCTAAGCCCTCGAATAAAATAACAAATATTACGTCACATAATGGTTTACTAAGAAGTTAGAAATTTAGGTATAAAAATATTTTTATACAATGCTATTTCCATAATAATGTTCACAAATCATTTAAAAAACGCATAAGTAATATAATATTATTTTTTAAATCTGTTTTTTATAAATTGTCTTTGCCTTTGAAATAAAAGGCTTCTATTTCTTTTTTTAAATGTATGCAAAGGCAACAGCTATTTCTTAATTTCATAGTGGAATATTGAACAAAACATAGCCTTTAGTGGTTCCTTAATTAAAAACTACTTCAGATCGAAATATTTAAACCAGTGATTTGTGTTTATTGCTTTCAAAGAGTTATCAAAAACTTATAACATATCTTTAACTTCGTAAGTAAGCAGAGAAATTTAAAACTAAGATTTAGTAACAGAAAAAACATATTACAACTTCTGTTAACACCTTAACTATTCACAACATTGAATATAAAAAGAAAGTATAATTATAAAAATTCGTTTAATGACTAAAATATATATTTTAAATACACTATGACTTGCTTCATTGTATACACAAGTACAAATTATATTTGTACTAGTAACAAATCACTGGTACTAGCTTTCTACAATAGCCTAAGATCATAATATCATTCATTCATTGAATTATTGCGAAATTATCATTCAATATTCAACATAGTTCATTCATAGGAACAATAATCAAACATAGAAGGGACTTATAAACGTTGAATACATGCATATAGTAACTAGAAAAAAAAGAGACAACAGTATTGTTGCTACTCCTTATCTTGGTTCAGCTCGACAGTGTTCTTGTAAGATAACATTTCTTACAGCTTTTGTCTGTAACACTTTTTTATTTAAATGGGCAGGCAAATACATACAGGATGGTAGTAAATATGTAACAGTAATGGCAACACCTAATAATGGTAAGTTCTATCTTTTGTAAAGTTGCCATCCTACAAATCAGAATTCCAAATCCTAATCTTCCAATTAGATTGGTGGTCGGTCACAATTTTATTAATGAGAAAACCAAAAGTTTCTGTGAGACAAATACAAAGCTGTCTCTTTTTACAATACTGAGTTGCCATCTCTATAAAAAAGTAATATAAAATATAATGTTAAATTTCATAGTTCAGTTAATATATCCCTTCTACATTAAATTAATTGTTCTAATATTAATTCATAAAAGCTAAGATTGAATATTTAAAAATGTCTTAGATGACAATTATTTAAAATGGAGACTGTAGGTATAATGACTTGTTAGCACCATCCTCATTCCGGTACAAATGTGGAATAAAGATGGTCTTACACTTATAAATAGCACCATTATTTTGAACTGCTGAACAAAAATACAAATTGCCATTCATTATACAACCCAATAACTATAACATGTTAAATCATTCCTTCTCTTTCTATCATTGAATCATCAGATACTGCTGTCTCATGTCCATTTTAAAATAACCTTTTAACCATTTCTGGACTCCAATTAGTTTCCTCTATTTGAAAGCTGAATTCTTAAACAAGTTTGTTTATAATTCTATATTAATTATCAAGCCAGAAGCTGTCAATGAAATATGTTCCAAAGCTATCTCGACAACTTTATAATTGTTGTTTGCGACAAACATAACATCATAACATAACGCCTTTTAACCTGAAGGTGCACATTACAGCACTTAATGCCACTGTACAATGTAACACCCACATTTCACTAGTTTTAATATGAGTCCCATGTAAGTGAGTGTATTGCCATAAACCAGCACTTTTCCAGACTCCGTGCTACTACTGAGATTTTTATAGAAAACCCAGTAATACTTTGCCCGACCCGAGAATCGAACCCGAGACCCCTTGCCCGGCAGTCGTGCTTGCGACTACTCGGCCCATGAAGCAGTCGAATTCAAAAGTGTATCATTTTTTATAATAAACATTCAAAAGTAAAAACCAGTGACAGCAACGCTGCCCTCAGTCTTTTTGTGTCAAGATTAACATCCATTAGTTATATTTACATGTTCATGAATTCAACATTGGATATAAACAGCAGGAACTATCAGTTATATAAACTCGTTACACTATGAAGGATCTAACTACTTGTCTATGGATCTAGAAGGAAGCTAATAGAGAAGCAGAGAAGTACATTAGAACCTAAACATACCATTACCTTTATGCACAACTTTCCGGTTAACTGTAAACACCTTCAAATAACACTTTGTTCACTGTTTTCTTTCTTGTTGTTCTTTATGAAAAGCTCTCTATCTTTTTATTGCCACTTGATGAAAATTTACACATTTTTTTAATTATATATATATTTAAATAATAATAATAATAATTGATATCACCCAGACAATGTTTTTAGAAAAAGAATTGTAACAGCCTTATTGTCAAACAGTTCACACTCTGCTTTAAGCCTCTCTCTACGAAAGTAAAAAGTCTTTTAAGCATGATGGCAATGGCAAAGCCTTTATCGAGCCATTGTTTACATACTGTAATATTGCATCTCTGCACACGCTTTGCAGAGTTTTCACTGAAAGAAAGAAAAATAAAATATGTGTAAGTAAGTAATAAAGGGACAAATATTAGTTCAAAGTTTAAAAAAAAAGTATTAATCAACTACAATACACACAATCTATGAAACAAATTTTTGTTTTCATGTGAAGATCAAAATTTAATTTTAATAAGTATAAATGATTTGTCATTAAATTCTGAATTTTACCTACAATAGGTATACATATATTTGCAATACATTAAGTCACAACTGTGATAACATGTTGCATACAATAATAATAGCAATGATTCACTCACCTCCATATAGTTGGACTATTTTTACTTGTTTGGTAGTCCCATAGACATCAACAACGGCATGTAAAGGCCCTCTTGTGTATGGAATAACTTTAGTGCAGGGCCCCTGATCCTCACCATTGATTATAAAGTGCATTTCTGCTAGATCTGGTTCATCCTTGTTCACTTTAGGGCAAGGGACAAACATCACACCAATGCGGCTACCAGCATCCATAGGTAAAATGCCTTGTGGAGTGCCATTGTGTGAAAGAGTCTGTGGTCTAAGGGCCATTTTCGACACGTATCCACGAGGAGTCTTCACTACGTGACCTTCACCCAGCACGGATACACGCGGTTCATTCTCCCGCCGCCCACTTGACGATTGAGTCACAAGTTCCACAAGTACATTGTTTTGAGACTTTGAAATAGGAAATATCCATGACATACCAGTGTTAGCCAGGTCGGGTAGTGCGTACTGAGGCAAACCTTTATCACCCAACGCAGCCGTCTGAGGATCAAGCAGTGTCAAACCAAGACGCATATGACCACTCCAGCCTCGTTCTGTTTTCTCAATTTCCACCAAAAATATTTCCCCCGGCAGCAGGGGCTTTTCACTAAACGTTAATCCATGGGCAAAGCTTGCTTTTCTATATGCAACAGTATTATCCTCAAATAAAATGATATTTGACCCGTGATAATGGTGAAACCTCGACAACATATTTACAAACACATTTGCGACTTTAAAATGGATATATAGATTATCACTACGATTTTATTAACAGTTTTATAAGTATTTGAGTTTTTCTAATGCACATCAGAGCAGTAAATATTAAACAAAAACCGAACAAATAGCCAGACGTCCGTTCGTCGCTGTTCCATAGAGGTAGAATTTGTTGACAATGACAATTTTATTATGACAAATGACATATGACAAGGGATAATCAAGGCTTTTGAAACTTTCTACCTGCCTAGCGGGCCATGTGACTACATTAAAAAAATAGAAATAGAACTTGGCTACGACTACAAAACAATATCCTAAAGATTTATAGAAGAAGACTTTATAAAATTTAATATTTATTTATTTTCAATTATGTGTGAGTTGAAAAATCTACTTTTATCTCAACCTCAATGTCGCATTTGCAAGAATCTGTAGCTGGTTGAAATATAAAAAAAAACAAATTAGAAAAAGTAAAATGTCACTTTCCGCTAAAGTGGTCACGCGGGTTTTTCAATTGAATTTGCGAAATAATGTATCAAATATTAGACAAAGAACATGTTCAGTTATTTTACAAAAACCTAGACATTATTATGATACCATTTTTAGGTCAAAACTGTTTGATACAAGCCAATATTTTTATCGCAACATGTCAACAAACATTGCAGCAGCGGAACGGTAAGACGTTTAGATTTTACTCGCATCTTTAAATTTATCAATTTGTTTAATTAACTCTAAAATTATCTTAACGATTTAAACTTTCATTCTAATATGAGGAAAGTTTTAAAATGTTACTAGCTTTGTATGTAAATGAAAAATGTAACATAGATGGAATGTTTTATTTTGGCATTGTTTTGTTTCAACCTCGAACGAACTACCGCTAACTAAACGTAAATGTTAATATAAAAATTGTGCCGCGTCAAGTAGGTGAGTAGGTACTTCTTAGGTACCTAGGTACTTGATAAAGTTGTTGTTTATTGCTGAAAATAAATGTTTTTTTCATAATTCAATTTATTAATTCGCTAAACGCAAACATAGTTATTTACCGCATAATAAGAATATTGTCTTCAAAAAGTTTACAAGGTAAAGTTTCTTGTTTATGGAGTTCTAACCTTTATTTGTTTTATTGTTTGCGGTTCGAATACTTTACTTATCTTTTAGTTACGAGTGTAAGTAAATAGCAAATACTATACATTTTTATGAATAAAAGTAAGTCTGGATGGATAAAAGTACGAAATAAATTTATTACATTCGTTATTTTTTTATAAATTGGACAAAATTTTAAGTAGGTACGTAAATAATGTTTTATAAAAGCTACAAATCCTTTGGGTGCTACACGTTCAATAATATGCCCTGAGATATTAATGAAAATTAAAATACTACTTCATTTGAATATGTACTATAGTTTGATTGTCATAAATTACTAAAAGTTTTGAAATATATCAACCCCTTTTTACTTAAATACTTAGGTAAGTACATAGCATGTTAACCAGTTACATAAGTTATAGACTTCCATGCCAGTGTAAGCAAGGAGGTGTAGTTCCAAGCAGTTTGTGCATAATTCAATTTACTTATGCTCTAGTGCTATTGAATTAAGGGCCTGATAATAGTTATTGATATAGGCCTTATAATATACTCTGGAGAATCTCAGGATTTAAACATGTTATGCAATGCATACTTTACTATTTTGTAACACACCTTGATAATTTTTAGAGCCCATTTACATACATACATACATAACTTCACGCTTGTCTCCCATGGGGGTAGGCAGAGACTATGGAATGCCAATTGATACATTCCTAGAGCCCATTTACTGTGTGATATATGAAAATAGGAGTGACATATTTACATAGGCCTTAAACGGAGAACTGTGAGTGTTACACTCAATATCTAAAGTTTTAATATTAAAATATAGGATAAATAATTCAGGAATAAAATGTGTGAAGCTATAATGGTAGTGTGAAACTATTTATTGAAGATTACCATAGTTGTTTTTTATTTACAAATAATACACTTAAATAACATAATTATGAATAAATATATACAATTTAAAATTAACTAAAACAATGAATAAAAAAAGTAAAAAATGGTACTATTTTTCAATGTAAGTTATTTTATAATCAATCAATTATTACAATGTCATTTATGCAGCCTAATTTTTTATTTGTTTTGTGGCTCATTGGACGTGTGGGTTGATTATGATGTTATAGTAATCCTAAACAATATGTTAGTGGACAAGCTGGTGTTCTACAAAACTCTTAAAAAGTTTTTATGCAGAATTTAACCTTTTCGCTGCCAAATATAAACTGGCCATAAATAGAATTTCTATAGAACTTCACTTTGAAGTAAGAGAACCGACAATGTCAATGTAACATCTTTTAGAGAATGTTCTTTACAAAAAACTTGTAACTTTAATACAATTTGTAGTAAAATATATTTATTTATGTGATAAACAATGTCTGATGGGGAGTGTGATGCACAAAGCCGTGTGAGCTGCGACACATATTTTACTGTTGGTAAAGATTGTCAAAATTCGTACGTATTTATATAATTCTTATCACTTTTTAATAGTTTATTTCTTTGTTATATTGGTGTATTCCTCGCAGGGCATAGCTTTGTGTTTGAAGCTCCTTAGTCATGACGAGTGGACGAAACAATGAGCAATATTTTATCATAGAAATTAATGTTGCTTGCCAATATATTCTTTGTACAAAGTGGCATACCTATACACTATCAATTTCTTATCTGTCCCCCCATAAATATTTGATAAAATGGGTGCATTTAGAACCACGGACCAACCAGACGTGGGGATTGGAATATCAGATTGTAAATCACATAAATAATTCTATGCATCAAACTCGCGGCTCGTCACATCGATCACCCACTGCGCTAACAATGTATAACAAGATTCTGTAATCTAGTTATGTTAAATACGTTGGGCCCGTTATTTACACAAGTCGTTAAATAAAACATGCTAAACACACATTAAACGGTTATTCATCTAGTGAATTGAATAATTTTGCATATTAGATTCGATCTGGATGATCGTTTCTTTCAAATGAAGTATTGTTTAAAGATTGATAACACTTCAATAAATCAATAAAATGATTGTTATGCTTTCCATTAAAACTTTTATTCGCTCCCAGAGGTGGATTAAACCTAGGTAGCGCCCTGGGCAAGTACTTCAAGGCGCTCCTAAGTTGTTTTGGCGCCGCCGCCACTCTATCTATGGGCAGTTGGGTATTCGCGTCTCACAGTGCCCCTCCGCACCCTGGCGCCCTTCTTCACCTTGGCGCCCTACGCACTTGCTTAGTTCGCGTTAGGCATAATACGGCCCTGGTTACTCCAAAAAGAACCTAATTGACGTGTAATCTGACAAGTTTTCAACTCATTTGCTTGACCTTTTTAATTAATATGGGCTCTTCTCTTCTGATTTCATCGCGTACTCTAAGTATTCTTACATGGCATATGACACTTACGCACACTACCTACTGAAAACTATCAATTATAAGAATGTCTCCGTACTTAAAACCTTAACAGTTTAAACTTGCAAAAATATTCTAAAAGCAACCATACAGCCGTGGTTTCGTCCACTCTATATACTTACCTACCTAAATAACTTTCTAATCTTTTCAATCTAGTTATCGCTGGGGCTATTGATCACTCTGTATAGTCTGTGTACCAATCGAGTTTGTAACACTGTGCCGTGTGGACGTGCCTGACAATGGCCTATAAAATATCAATATTACTATCATGTTTCGTTCTTATTGTATGTTTTAGTAAAATCAGAGCCATGGGTGCCTTGAGTCCTCTTGATCCGTCTTCATTCTCGCGGCCTGGTAAGTTTATTAGCCATTTTTTAAATAATTGTGAACAAGATAATTGTTTTATGTTTTTTTTTGCGGTGATAATTGATATAAGAGTATTGTTGTGCTTGATATTAAGGGTCATAAGTTATGAGATAACACTTTCTTTGTCCATTTGTGTTTTGTTTTATTATGTACTGTTTCGTATAAAACAGTGAACCTGTTTGTAGCTAGTGCATGTAAGAATTCTAAATATTAAAGATGATTTTGTTTGGTAAATGAATAGTTGTACGTATAGTTATGTATTTATGTAGGTATGTTTTATAACAGTAAAGGTATTCACTGCTAGTTTCAACAGAATATACTTTGTAAAAATCTTGTAAATCATTCAAGTCGGTCACTATAGTAAAAGCTTAGAAACTGTATTCTTTTTTTCAATATTTAAAACTAAATAGAAACATCGCTTTAAATAATATGGAAATGTTTACGTTAAAATGATAGATAATAATACTTGTACTACCTGATAATAATGTTTCTTGTTACAGAGCAAGCGATTATAAGACATATATCGCTCAATTTGAACGTTGACTTTGCGAAGCACGTTCTACAGGGATACGCTAAGATTGACTTCGATATCTTGGAAGATATTAACAGTCTGGTGAGTTAAAAAAAAACATATTTCACAGCAGTGTCGGACTCGCCATAAAGTCTGGCTTGCCATTGCCAACGGGCCCCAGCCTGTATGGGCCCCTACAAAACCGGATTTGGGAAAAGTATTCGACTCAACTAGGGGCTTTTTTGCGACGAGAGTCCGACCCTGTATTACCCTTTTGATTTCTTTTCCTAGCATAAGGTCAAGAATTAGAACCTATATATTATTTAGTACTGTTCATTTCACTTTTTCATTTTTCATTTCGAATGTATATGCAATATGGGCTTGTAGTATACACTACATTCACTACATTCGAAACCTGTCTCATCTGTTTTTCCGTTTTATGGTAACTGTCGGTTACGTTAATAAAATTGAGGACATGTAGTTAGCCTTTGTGGAGGAAAAAACACATAATATTGTACTGGGGTTTTTGATATCCTCTGTCCACTCGGAATAAATAACTTGCTTTCACAACAGTAAATACCTACAGTTTCTCGTATTTGGGATGCGACAGATGGTTGATAATAAAATGATGATATTTCACT